CGGTTATGCTGGGACAGATGGACTGAGTGGACTGGTTTTATTCTGCATTGAGAATGAAGGAGCAGACAACTTCCTGGTGCACGCTCGAGGCTCACAGAGAGTCATCCGACAGGTGAGTACATGAACACACTCGTGATGGTTGTAACTTTCTAAGAGTAGAACAGTGAACAATGTCTGGTATGCTGCTGATTCTAACAAGTCATTTGGCTGAATATTGTTGTTGCACCCGCCGTGGTGTCCATTTTTATTTGTGGTTGGTCATTTGTGTGTTGAGCTTTGTCCTCTTTTCTGCTCATCAGTTGTCATCTGTAAAGGAATATATGTTTGGTTTGGTCAGAGGGGCTCTGTGGTTCGATGTGTAGCTTAGTAGACATGTAAATGTACTTTATTTTTAAATGCAAATATAGCATCATCATCATATTTTCTCTTTAAACTCCCTCCCTCCAGTCTTTGTTATGAATTGTAACGCAGTAACATTTACTCAGAATAAATATTAACTGACTTTTAGGCCAACCTGAGTAAAATGTCTCATTTAAAGTACAAAATCTTGTCCTTGTGTAAAATATTCTAGAACTCTTTCCATTCCTGACTATCAGGTAATTTATACATTTAGTAAAATGTTCACACAAAGAATAAAAAAACACCCTGAAGATGTCCTCAGGGTGATCTTATCCTGCACTTTTTTTTTAGCATGAAACTTGCATCTTATTAAAGATGATACGCTTTATATGAATAAGAGTATCCAACACTTGTGGAGTTTTCTAGAGATTAAAATCAAGATACATCTCTGCTGTTTACATTTTGAGTACCTCTTTACATAAAATATTTTCCTATTAATTAAAGGTTCAAAAGCAGATTTTTACTATATTTTAGCTGTATTTTTTTTATACAACCCGTATATTAACTTGATGTCAAAGTGATATTTCTACTACAGATTTGTAACTCTCTGGGGTTTTCTTTCAAGTCAAGAGCCTGTTTAATGGTCTTGCACTGCATCAAGTAACAACAGAAGTAATTGTAGTTTATTCAACACTACACTGCCTGTCATTAAATCTTCTTTTAGATGGATCAACACAAGCTTTTCATATTCCAGCAAATGGAATTACATTTTTCAGTCTATGTACAGCATGGGTTCCGTTTAAAAAAACAACACTTTACCTCTGTTTCAGGCCGTGAAAGGTAGTCGAGTTGTGTAAAGCATCAAGTACATTACACTATAAATCTGTAATGCATGCAGCTTTAGGTTTTATGTGCCTGTTTACTTGTCTTTGGGTGTTGCAGGACATCCATAAATCTGTCAGAAAAGCCGTAGTGTGAGGCGAGATGGAAACCTTTTCTGTGTTCATCAATTAATAGTAGCAGTGACAAAAGCAAACAAAACATTATCACAAGCTTTCCAATGATTCAGGTTGGCACTCTCGGGGAAAGAAAACGTACGTCTAACAAACGAGACGCATAAAGAGCAGTTACAATGATTAGAAGAGGCATAATGTGATTGTGACCTTTTTATTTTTGTGCCAAACATTTACGGAGAAACGACACATTTTCCAAATGAGCTGCACGCACTATGAGAAATCAACCTGGGTCCGATAACCAGTGACACAACTGTTTCGGCTCTTAACAAATCAACTTCATATAAAAGCACAGAATTGGTTATAATTTGGTCTTTACCGGGCGCCATCTTTGTAGTCAAATCTCGTCCACATTAAACGGGATCACAGCAGTCCTATTAACTTTGGTGCAAGGCATGACCTGAGAGTCGAGGGTGTAGGTCCCCTGCTTTCAATACTCAATGTGCTCTCTGATTAGCAATTATGTTTTAGATAATGGTATACAAACTGTTGCATACCAGTAATTGGTCATGAGGATTTTAATGGATACTACGCAAATCAAATGGGGCTATGATGTTATTGGTAATTATAAGATGAGAAATTATTCCATTATTTCTTACTTGCAAAGCTTTTCCATGAATGTAAAAAAAAAAACCTTACAGAAAATAATAATTACCTCTTCACACACAAACTACAAATAGAATAATCACTCCCGTTTTTTTAAACAAAATATTTTTCATTACACCAGAAAATGAATACCATAAGCACGACTATAGTTGATCTATTTAACAGACAGCAGTGGAGTTTTGATCTACAGAGTTCCCAGTGTCAAAGATACAGCACAGCAAAAGGGCGCTACAACAAACCAAATTAAACTGTATGCAGAATCCTATGATAACAATACATATGTATCACTTTTATATTGAACAGAATTAATATCAACAACATTCAACTCAGATTTTGGAATACTAAACAATGCATTCAAAGTAAGATGAGTGAAATCTCCAAAGTCTGTGACTGTAAAGCATGAAGAAAAAGAGTGACATCTATCAGTGATGTGCGGTTTTATTTATTTTATTTTTTCTTTCCACCGCGGAATGTTTTTTGTAGAAATATACCTTCGTTTGGGTAAATTTACTGTGCTAGGAAACTCACAGAAGTCCTAATGTGATGGGGGTACGTTGGCACCACTATCAGGGAAGTTCTGCAAGCAAATTGTACTTTGATTAAACAGGATTTACATCACAACAAGTCCAGTCTGCAATAAAAACGTCTTCTTTCACTCGAGGACTGCAGACTAAGGTGCTTCGTAGGACACTTCTACAGTTCAGGATACAAAAGGCTCCAAAATACAGAATTTGAGATTTGTTTAAAGGCCATCTACTTGATTCATATTCTTTAAATCCTATGTTTTTTTTCCTTTTTATCAAAACATTTCCAGTCTTGATCACTTGGGACATCATCTCCAGTGACCAATCATAAGATGTGAAGTCAGGAACACCCAACACATTTACAGTAAATTCATGCATTATTGACTATCATCAGTCCCCTCTAAAAAAACAAAGCTAAAAATGTGAACCACCACTGAACACCGGTCATCAGCTGTCTCATTATTCCAAACCTCTGACATAATTAATTATACTATTTGCATCAAGGATGGGGAAACCATGGAGAGGAGAGGGTCCTACAACACCGTATCATATCAAGTAGGATGCCGGCTATTCATATGCAAAGTGAGGAAACACAAGCACCCTGTAGAAAAAAGTTACATCAAAAGGTGCCCTGTAGAAAAAATTATGAATCAATAAAGTCTCTCCATGATCTCTTGTAGCAGGAAGGTACAAAACACGTTGACCGGACACAAAATCTCAAGAGTAACGACACAAAGTGCCCTGTTGGTGATTATGCAAGAAACTCAACAAGGTGGAGGGTGTGGCCTTATTTGACTTTCAGTGTCTTTTGCTTCCTTTTCCGGTGATCAGTTAATCACCAGACCCTGACAAGTAAGTTAAAGCTTATATAAAAGCTGCGATGAAAGTCTTCATCTCAGCACGATTATATTCTGACAAATATAATAAGAACTTTTTTTCATATACAATTTTTAATCTGCACATTTCTGCAGAAATCCTGACATTGTGATAAAATCTGAATCTCAAAATGGGTTTCTCAAACTGTCCATTTAGTATACTTTTTTTTTTTTTTTTGGGATATATAAATTCATACAATTCGTGATAATCATATTATTATCCACTATCTATGACGTCTCTTTCCATTACAGTTTTGCCATTACGATTTAATGGAAATAATGCTACATCTGTACTGAAAAGGGTGAAGAAAAGCATCTGAGCAGGCGCTGCACCCATTAAGAGTGGAGATTAGTTAATCAGTCATTTCTCTCTGTAATACAGCAGATATGCTTTCAGGGACTCTGGCAGCGGTAGAGACATTATTTGGTCTCTCAACACGTTCACTTGCTTGAGGATTTCAATGTCGCCAATGTCTCGTTCTTCCTCCTCCTCCACTTCCTTGTGTTCTTCCTCGGCGTGCTCCTCCTCCTCGCTCTCCACCATCTGGGGGATCAGCTGATTGCCCACGAAAACGTAGGTGTTGATGCGTCGCCGCCGGCAGCGCCGGCGTTTGCGCTTCTGGGGAACTCTTTGCATGATGTCCTTCCCCTGACTGTCCTCGTTGGCCAGGTTCCTCAGAGTGCGGCGAATGTAGATCCGAGACAGATCCTGAAGGCTGCAGACAGTCACCGGGGCTGAGGACAAACAGAGATGACAGTCCTTCAGGGCAGTGCGCCACAAAAAAAAAAAATAAGAATAGTCCACAGAACTGCACCAGTCCTTCAACTAGGCCGGCATCAACAAGAGAGGCCATCAAAGAGAGAACTGTGTCTCAGTATTTCAAGGAAAAGGATCTACTGGCTGAACAGAGCAGCTGCAGGGCGAGCGTCATATGTCAAAGAAAGCATTGCTGTCGGTCTCGTCACATCACTTTGAATGCACTGTCTGACTTTGAAATATTGCCCGCTTTACACTTCAAGACCAGTTAGACATAATAAAACACAAGGTTGTTGTTTTTTTTGTGAGGCTGGAGAACTTACGCAGCTGGACAGCGTCGGGCTTCTCTCCATCTGCTATGCTCTGCTGGATCAAGGGGGCAAAGGACACCGCCAAGATGTTTTTGCTGTCCCATGTGCACTGGCCAGTCCTGGTTATCTGGGTCAGCTTCATAAAGAGGCAAAACCTGAGCTTAACACTTATAAAATATGAAATGCTGTGTGACACTAGGGAGCAAGAAGCACAGTTTCTTCTATCTATATATATATATATATATATATATATATATATATATATAATCCTTATGGGGACATGTCTCTCTGTTTAATTCTCTACAGATACACGTTTGCTATTAAATGCAGTGTTTGCTTATTAAACAACATTCACACATCTAATGATCTTACTCCAAATTGCACGTGTTCATTATGGTTGGCAGATTTACATAAACACTGTGTAACCAAAGATAAACTTTGCCCCCGGAGGAGAAATGAGCCCCTTTACCATTTGCATACATGCTGCTGTAAGAAATGGGTGCATGAAACATTAACACACTTAATTTGTGCGTGAGCAACTTACTGCCAATGGGCTTAAAGACCGATCACACTTTCAAATCAATTAATCTGCAAAATGATGTTCTCAATTAAATTGATGCATTGTTTGAGCCATAAAACTTCACATTTCCCAAAGCCTAAGGTGACATCTTCAAATGTCTTGTTTCTGTCAGACCAACCGTCTAAAAGCTCAAAGACAGTGAGTTAGTTTTAAACACCGACATCTGAGAAGCTGGAGACGCCAAATGTTTGTCATTTTTTGCTTGAAAAATAAGCAATTATTCAATTATCAAAAGAGTAGCCAATTTAATTTTGTTCATGAATGAGTAATCATTTGGCTCATTGTTGCAGTTATAATATAAATTGGGTTACATCATCATATCGCACACATCTATCAGACATGTTGTCAAAATGTCTGGTGGTGGGAGAAGTTGGCTCAGTTCATGACAAGTAATTATTAGTCGACAGTATCGACAGCCATCAAAACGCTGTTAAACCCCATGAGGCTATGGACGCATCATGCATCATTGTAATAAGGGAGAGTACATCTTAGTGGGAGGTGTACTCTATTAACACCAGCAGATACTGAAGATGCCCTGGAAGCAAATGTATTCATTCATTCATAGCTATTTTTAATGCACTTCATCCAACACAATACTGCTCACTGTCAGAGTGCAGGTCTCTAGGACTACTTATTATTTGTCTCAATAAAGCCTGTAGAGAATTCTTCCCTCTCTCACCAATATAATGGGGCTATATGGTACTCTGCTTCTGGTGTTCAAAGCGCAAAAACAAAAAACCACATTTAAAAAAACTCAACAGCTGCGTCTCCTTCCAGAAGGGATGAACCGATAATCCACAGATCTTGTTTTGAGCAGTTTCATGTCGGGACCATTTTATTTCTACCAAACTACACCCGCCAACCCCATCACTGCGCAGGAGGAGGCGTGCAGCCTATTTTGTGCACATTAGTCCTGTCTATTCTTAACCGTATTTATCCAGCTGTGTAGTCCTTGATCCTAATCATTCTGTCCATTTCTGTATATATTCAGAGCAATGCAAATGTGTGTGTACACATACTGAGCCTTGGGTCATTTATGACCCGTAATCATTCACAATCTGAATTACCACTATTGGCAAACAGTAATTCCTGAGTGTATGCATTGAGATCCCTTTATGCTTATGAGAGCGCCTACCGACATAAACATTAACGAAGAGTATGTTTGAGATTGCCCTCTGTATAATGCGAGCCATTATATTTAACTAACGTACAAGGAAAAAACAATGGCTTGTTGCTTCGTCCCATTATCACCCCGCCGTGTCTTTAAAGATACTCAATCATACAGTTTGGCAGCATTTGCAAAACGCTCAGTTCTTCTCATGTTTCATAGCTGTCCACTCTGGAGGGTCATTTTTGTTCTTTTTTTGGGAGGTGGGAGGGCGGCAGATTTTAGTTTTTTTTTAAATGATTCGCATTAGTGTGGACATGGTCTGAGGTTTGTAGTGCTTACAAAAATGTCTGCTCAAAATGATAATTATTTTCCCCATCATGATTCATAAGCCTGTACCGGCTGTTTTGGTTCTTACTAAAGCCTTGTATCTTCTTTAAAAACACAACATAACATCTGATTGATATACTGCATTCTCTGAACTCAGGCCTTAGTACACTCAAGTCTTAAATAACTGACAGCGTAAAACCTTGGGTCACCATATCTAATCTTAGTCAAGCGTTGCCCAAAATCCTTGACCATGAATCTGTCATGAACTTTACCCTCCTTACTGGAATAAAAGAGTCCAACTATATTCTCCACCAACGCACTCTTACACTCTGTCCACACTCAAACATCCATTTTTTTTTTTTTAAATAAAACTTATTTATACAGCCCTCTGTGTGCTCCTTACACGGCTGCTGAAATCCAGGGGCAGTCGCGGCTCAATGATGCATGTGAAAGTTGCATAACCAGTCTTGTAGGTCAAAGCTATTTTACCTGTTTTCCCTCATATGTTAGCATTTTCAATAACAACCATTATGTGTTGCTTCTGTATCATTCAGGAGGCTTGGAGCACTTACCTGATCTTCTATAGGCATCACCAGAATGCCTCCAATTTTGAGCAGTACTTTCATGTAATTTTCATGGTCTTTCTGCACTCCTGCGCCGCAGTAGATGCGATCGTATTGGTGACTGTCTGTTGAGATTTCAAGGCAATTCCCCACCACAAAGACAGGTTCACAGAACTCAAACCTGTGAAAAAATAATGACAAGTATAGTGGATGAAATACAGAAAATAGCAGGAAAAGTGCTTTTTTTTCCCTCTTTCTTTCAGGCTCATCACATTTGTGAGCTGCAACAGAATCATGCAGATTAGATGAATAGAGGAAGAGAGATTTAAATGGAATTAATTTGCAAGACAGTCCACAAGAGCAGAACTGGCAGGTAAAACTGCTACTAGTTTCAACACACACTGTTTTTATTAAAATAAATAAGATGATAATCTAAAACACAGTAATTAACATGTTAAAATAGCTGTTTTTACACGGAATAAACTAAATAACAGTGAGCATTAGAAGTGCTAGGAGACAGATTTTGTGAGGCCAACTGCTTCCTCTTGTTTTCAACCCTTTATGCTAAGCTAGGCTAACCAGCTGCCGGTTTAAAGTTTTATGTTCGGCTTTTTGTCTGTTGCAATCTTGGTTTTTAGCCCTCACCATCTTCACTGAACAAGACATTCTCAGGCGACCAAAATGTTAAAGTCCACTTCCATGAACTAAAAACAGTCTATGAAAGAGTTAAAGATGGAAACGCAGACAACATACAGACTGGACAACACAGTGGTAGCAACCTGTCAATCACAAGGTAGCCACACCCTAAAATATACCCCTGCTTTATAGAGTATGAACATCATGCTGTATTAAAGAAGACTTAAAGATTGAGACCATAAACTGTTTACTGAGGTAATAAATCAAGTGAGGAGTAGTCATTTTCTCATAGACTTCTATACAATCTGACTTATTTTTGCAACCAGAGGAGTCGCCCCCTGCTGGCCATTAGAAAGAATGCAAGTTTAAGTCACTTCCACATTGGCTTCACTTTTTAGAACCAGAAGAATTTACCAAAATATTTGAGAGTGGAATCAATCTTTTCTTCTAACTCTCGGCAAGAAATCAAATTTGCGTTTTTGCCAAATTGAAATGTTCCTATTAAAAGCAAGAACTTACTTATCAAAGCTGTCACTATTCTTTATGAAATCATCCAGTTTCTCTCTGGCATATTCAACCACGTCCTTATGGAGCTCAACTCCATGGTTCACACCAAATGGTCCTTAAGAGAAAAAAAACACAACAGGAACAATTTGTTCTTAAACAATCAAATACCTATTGTGACTTCATGTTGAGCTGAAACGGTTAACTGTTTTTCATTGATGGACACATGACAGTAATCTGCACATCTTTTAATAATCGAACAGTGACGCAAGTAACAAGGTAATTTTCTTGTAAAAATACCAAATCTGCTGATTATCTTTGTCTTATGTGATAAACTGAATATTGACTTTTATACAAGCAATTTGTAGATTGTGCCTTTTGGCTTTAGGAAACTGATCTTTTACAATTTCTTTTTTTTTTCTTTAAATAACCAAAACTGAAAATTGCAGTCCTATTATCACTGATGCACTGATTTGCAGGCACACAGTGTACTTTTGTAGTACATTTGTTGAACCTAGATTTGATATCCGAGCACCTCCCACACATGAAACAAAGCACAGCTGGGCACACTATGCTTACCTATGATGAGGCCAACCATTGTGCTCAGGTAGCCAGTCCCACTGCCCAGATTGAGGAAAGAAAGTCCAGGCTGCAGTTTGAGGGCCTCCATCACCTCTGAGTATATACACGGAGCAGACAGGTGTATGTTGCCATGCTTCCACGCCAAGTCTTTGTAGGCACTGTCCCGGTAGCCGTCCAGATAGTAGTCACCGCGGTCTATGGCCCGAAAGGCCTGCTCAACTTTCTCCGTGCGAATGTACTGGGCCTCCTTCAGATTATCAATGAGGTCGTCATTGTCCTCCCCAGCGCTCACGGCTCCCCCCATGACGAAAAGAGAAGAGAAAACACAAGGGCCGAAACTCGTACTCCGGGTGAGCGATTCCTCCTCAGTGTGGCATGGGGGAAGAACGTCTGACCTGAACGCTGCTGCCGCCGCTGTGACTCCTCAAGCGTCGGTTCAGACTCCGGTCATGTCCAGGGCAGCGAGTGACCTGAGAAAATATTACATAAACACGTTATGGCAACGCGCCCGCTGGGGAACACAGCATCTGTGCAGATTTAAGATGCTGATGAAAGTAAAGATTTATGAATCTTCTCCCACGATTGTCCTTGTTTTTCTGCTGAAAAGTTAACGACTGAAAGCGACAGACTGAAGAATGAAAGAATTATTACACATCAGTGGATTTCCAAATAAATACCCTTTAAAGACGCGATGAAATATGAAAGCTGTATCTATTTGAATATTAACTGCAAACCACATAACCACCAAAAGGTCATGTTTAAAAAAAACAATCCAATAATACAACATTAAGGCATTTTAATTGGATAATAAAATGTGTGGCTTTTAATAAGGAGCCTTCAGATTATTATTTTGCACATCATTGCCTCCTGAGATTAACCTCCAAACACACACTTCCCTTATACAACTTGTTTACTCTTCAATGTTTAAAGGCCTTTTTTTCCCACAGCAGACATTTTGCTGGCTCACTAGCACGGTTTTATGGAACAGAGCCGTCGTCAATGTAATTTGTTACAGCCGGGATTTTCCTGCAAATACATTACAGAGGATCGGTGGTGGAAAAGCTATGTTAGTCATGCTATATCCTGCGTGCACAGTGTAATGTGCTGTGTACTGTAGAGAATTGTTTTTTATTTTAGAGCTGAAACGATTAGTTTAATTGATTAGTCAAATGTCAAAAGTTCACCGCTTCACTGGGTCAATGAAAACTGATCTCCGCTTGATCTGAACACTACATTGTGAGTCCTGAGCTACCGGCTTTACTATGTAATACTATTAAGTACAACATCGTAGAAATAAAGAGTGAACTACTACCACATGCTGCTTTTTAAACATTTTATAGATGCTTTGATGACTTAAGTACCACCACGACTGGCACAGAGTGGAAGGGTGGAGCCCAGGGAGACGAGACTTGAATTCCCTCTCTGCCTCCTCAGCATCTCCACATCTGACTCAGCTAATAAAGATTAAATTCAGAGGTGACTTTGTAGCGGGAGGCCCGGTAAGGTAATTTTCCATTGGCTCCTTCTCGCGGGCAAGAAGAATCATTGATTCGCTTAACAACACTGATTGCACAGCAGTGTATTTTTCTTTTTGTTATCCTAGTTCCCCTCTCTCCTCTCTGTAATGCATAGTCCTTTTGAGTAGCCTGCATTTGAAAGAAAATCCAGGAAAATGTGTCAGGGGAGGTATTGTACAAGCAAACTGCTTTTGAGCACTGCTGTACAGTCTCACCGATGATTATCTCCAGTCTTGAAACAGGAGTCCTCTTTCACCCACTCCTTTTTAAAAAGAAGACTAATCAAAAGGCAGCAGCTATGTGATAACATGTGTTGCTATAGTGAAGCTAGTTCTTTCCATTAAAGAAAGAAAGAGAAAATAATCTGTGTGTAAAAAGGAAACCACTGGTAAACACACACTGGATGTCCCGGGTTGAACCCTGGTGTGTGTGTGTGGAAAGTGCGCTGACTCCATGTCAGGTCATGACTGAGCTGATCCACGACTCGCTGAACCCTGCAGGATGACGAAACATGCAACGGATCCTCCGGTAACAGGAGATCAACACTAGTGCTGTAATGAAACACCGACGGCCCCGCCAGGCCGCACAGCGACATGTGCACACTTGCTGATCGGCAGACGGCGAGGGGAAAACCGATAGTGCTCGTGGTTGCATGCATTTACACTGTATACTCAGACATTTTAGCAACTCGTTTTGCAGCAAAGAAGAGGACGTCTGTGGCAAAATGCAACAGCGGTATGATTCTCATGAGTAGAAAATAATCATACGTGTGTCAATAAATCTACACTCGCAAGTCTCACGATTGCATTTGTGATGTAATGAAGGCAAATTTGTCATTTGTGCTTAAATGTATAAATAATGTTTTTTCATAACTACCCGTTGATATACGAATCCTGCTGATGAATTGACATTACAGCGCTTTGTCTCGTATTCCCTGCAGAAACAATGTGCGCGTGTTGGGTTCACAGTGACGGATAAGAAACTGGATAAAAGACTTGAGACGGTGTAATTAATGAGGTATGTCTGTATGGAAAATAAATTCAGCGACGATTTTCCCTGCAATGTCGAACATATTATTAATACAACCCGTGAGCAAATGTGCTTTACAAATGCAAATTTGGTAGAAGTGCTCGTTTGTTTCGCTACAAAGGCCCCTGAATTGAATGTTATTGAAGCCGGAGTATTCCTCTGTGCAAAGAACCGTGTTGTGCGTTTCTCTCCTCGCCGAGATGAAAAGCACCTGCACATTGTATTGTAATTTAGAACAACACTCCTGTAATAAATATTACCTTTTGTGAACGCTCTACTAATTCTAAGCCATGCTGAGTCCTCATCCAGTGCCACCAGCAGGTCAAATACTTGATTTCATGACCCGAAAAACTAATGATCCAAATCCCATTAAATCTGCCGACCATGGCCCGCAGAAGATAAATCATGGTGATCTTGGTCACCGAATGACGTTTTTTTCTAGCACTGAAATGTCCAATTTTACATAATATGCCTCAAAATCTGAATATGGTGATGTTTGCTGAATATGTTAATAGTCCTCAGATACTTCCTTTTGAATGTTAATGACCTGCTGACCCCTCCTCCAGGGTGAACCCCCGGGGAGACGTCCTACACATAATGTCTGATTACATATTCTGAAAGGGCAGACAGTCACTGTTGAAAGTTTATGTTTTAATATAATATTTTTATGACCCCCATGACCATAGGTAATTTTTCCTCTTCCAGTGTTCGTTATTTTGAATGCGTTATATAAAGACCAGCATTTTAGCCATTACAGCAGTATGTCTTCCTCGCCTGTTATAAAGTTTTGGGGCGATGTTAGAGTCGGTATCGGATCAAGACTTTCATCTCCACAACATGTCCCAGAGTGTAACGAGTCACTCTCCATAATGACCCCCTTCCTTTAGTGCCGTCCTCAGACTGAAATATTAGACTGCCATGAAAACCTGAAAGATGTTTGTGCTCAGCAGTGGATCGGTGCTTTTGATTAAGGTCACAATATGGCCGTTCCTCCGACTCCATCCCCAGGCTAGAGATCAGACTGAATGTGAGGTGTATTAGCATCCATCTTTATTCACTCAACCACTGGACTCTGAGTTAATTACTCACAAACGACCACAGGATGTGACAGTAGAGGCGTCTGCTGTGCCCGGCTAACAGGAGCCGACTGCATGCAGCCGGGTGTGAAACATATTTAGCAGAACTCCAGCTGTTTCACTTATTCTCCTCAATGTTGCTCATATTGACTTAATATTCACAAGAGGTCAATGCAGTTTTGGGGATGAACGTAATGAACGTCTTTTCACCAATCTGTGGTACCTACATCAACCTGTAACCTGCGTTTTGCATTGTTTACATTTTATCTTTTTTTCTGAAGTGTGATGAAAATGATGTCATCACAGGGCATCCAGCAAGGCCAACGACTTTAGATGACAACCACGGCTCGAGAAGACGACCAGTAGATTATCTGATGGTTGTTTGCTGCAGCTGTACTCTGTAGGATTTGCCGTCATGTGGAAAATTTAGAAATAATAGATTCAGCTTTTCAGTTGAGAGGATACGCTGCTTTTCTTTGTCGTATTTTATTCATCCTTTATTTACAAGAGGGTCAGAGAGGTCCAAATTGAGATAAGATATCTCTTCTGCAAGGAAATGGTTTTTACATAAGAGTATAAACTGGGACAAAAGTTAAAAAACGCAAGGCACCATGATGTAGACTACATCCAGTTCTCTCAGAAGATGCATGGATAGAAGTTTTCTTAGCAGCAAAAGGAACCTTTTTCTTTAAGTAACATAACAACCTAACTTTAGTGAAGGTTTCTATTGATATGGACTTCAGAGGTCAACTTGTTATCAATCCAGATGCCACGGTGTCTGCAAGTCCCTAGATGAGTGCCATCTAGTGTCCAGACAATACAATCAGTAGGTGCTGAACGTCAATGTGTAAAAGTCATACATTTGGTCTTTTAGGAGCTTTAAATCAATTATAAGTTAACAGGAGACATCTGCAATAAAATAAAAGTAAGGAATCCATCGCCACTTTTTAAAGATGGCGCTATTTGACAGTTAATTGAATATCTGTAGGTTTTGTACAGTTGAGGACAAAATATATATATTTCCTTGGAATTTAGTCAACTGTGATCGGCATAGTTAACTTTTTTTCATACAATTTAAAGACCAAACCAGAAAATACTGGGAATACTAATCAATACTGACGCTAATCAGTATAGTTGTACCAGTACAGTAGCCGTTTATTCAGCTGTGGTAGTTTGTATATTATTTGTAATGTGTTTATGATGTCGTTGAACACACCTGTCAATCACGAACCTCCAGACTTTGACTTACAGCAGGCACGCTGCCTCACATCATACAGATGTTTTAGTATTTTCTTGCCCACTCGGTATTTACAGACGTTCCTGTAGTCCCCACGACTGACACCTGGTTCAGCCAATCAGCTCGCTGCCTGGTCACGTGCCTGCAGTTGCCACACAGACGGCGGCCCGACAGCCAATCGGCTGCTCCGGACGCTTTCTTCGCACTGCGTGTGACGATGGAGCAACAACAACAACAAGAACAGCGATTTTCATGAAAACGCTTTCGAGCGTTATTAATCGCGGCTGTTTCTAAAAAAAAAAAAATCCTGCACCAAAACAAACCCCACATTATGTGAGAAAGCAGAGTCCCACGAGTGCACGAGCGGACAAACACTAAAACACAGTGTTGTTGTTGTGCGTTCATCCAGCTTTTGTTCCCACTTGTCGACCATAAACGCAGTCTCTCTCTCTCTCTCTCTCTCTCTGCAGTGAGATTAACCTCAATCTTTTAGCAGCGACTAGCTAAACCGGTTTGTTTGTTGCATTTTAGTAACTGCTGTGCATGCGTGCGCGTGTGTGTGTGTGTGTGTGGGGGGGGAAATAAATCCCACAAAAACAAACGTTGATTTCTCCGAGCTTCTTCCGCTTGACAGAAAAAAGTAAAAAATAAAAGACGACGACAACAAACAAAAAGAAACAGACGACAGTTGGCGAAGCTTGCACGTGAATCAGCGAGTTTAAATCGAGGTGTTTCAGTTGATGTCTCGTGTTAAAGTCCACGCAGTGTGGACCTGGCTAACGTTAGCTGTCGTGGGCCTGAGTGCGCCATCACCAGAACAGGGACAAAGCAGGTTAGGTAAGCTCTCGGGTTGATCCTGCACAGCGACTCGAGAGTTTAATAAAGCTAACACGATTATTATGCAGCCAGCAAAACAACCCGGATAACTGACTCACTCACACGCACACGCGCACACACACACACACACCAACACACGGCAGTTATCTTAAAAATACATAACAAAGAAAATACTCACAATTCCGTGTCGCATCAACTGGATGCTCTGTGCAATGCGACTTTCAGACGTTTTAGCAGCGCTCCTTTTTTTTTCAAATGTCTTTTATTTGGAGGCTAACTGCCGGTCAGCTGTGTTATCTAGCAGCTTAACGTCAGCTGGCCCGAGCGAAGGAGGGAGAAGTAAGTTGGTAACGAAGAGCCGTTGTGTCGAAGTGAAGGAGAAGACAGACACAGCTGAGAGGATGTAAACATAGGTCACGTGGTTTAAATGTTGTCGATAGAGGGAGGCACTGTTGCTCATATCTATTTTATCTATATATCTATTTAATCTGTAGCCTTCCGTGTACATGCACTTTACAGGGGGATGTTTTTATTTGGGTTCACAAGTCTAATAGTTTTTACTACAGATAAAATTGCAGCCATTGCTTTGATTAATCGATCAATCAGGCAGTGAAAGCATGACAGTTCTACCTTGTTTGTACATGTCTCTTTTTGTGTTAATGTGCTTTTTTTATGTAGGTTTGTCGAGTTAGGTGTAGCCAATTGTTATGGTGAATTGATTGTTGTTGTTGTTGTTGTTGTGTACTGCACTACAAAGAAAAGTACATCCATTACAGAGAACGAATAATCGGGCGATACTTGGTGCACTTTATGTTGGTTTCCTCTTAAGACAGGCTATTCTTTCAGGTATTTAAGTTATCTCTGTTGGACTGATTTATATGATTTATGCTATACTATACAATGAATTAATCTGGTTTTACTTGCATTATACCATATTGACTCTTCTGCTATTATTTACACCACACCATTGTTACTTTTTTGTCACATTTTGTCTTTAAGTGCTCTTGTATAGTTTATATTTTCTACTTCTGTTGTATTTTATTTTGAAATGCCTCTTACTATTTACTCTCTATCTGTATTAAATCTGTCCTTGTGCTGCTGCAACAAGCGACTCTTATGGGACCGTATCTATCTGTCAGCAGATAAAGGTTGACTAAAAGCATACGGAGTAAGAAATATAGGTCAGGAATGATACATCCCCATGATAAGCCTGTTCATTACCATTTCCTTTTAACAAGGGAGTTCAACATCTGAAGGTTCCTGGAAAGTTTCACCCACCTCGTAACCTCACAGCTCCCTAAAGGAAACGTTTAAATTTAGCCTGCAGCTGGTTTCACTGGCCTGTGTGGGAATAAACGATGGGAAACCTCGCTTCACCTCGTCCTTTGATAATACTACAGATGACTTGTTCTAAGAGGAAGACATGCAGTCACTTCAAGAAAATTAAATGTCTTTTTTTTATTGCAATAAAACAGTAACAGAGATATTGGAGTCAAAAAATGTTTTGAATGTTGAATGGAAAATGATCAAAACATTCTGGTTAATTAGTTGACAAAGTAGAAGAGCTAAACAAAAATCCATCAGCATTCAGAGTGAAGCGTTTGTGTTTAACTTATTTTTATCGTAAGAAATATCGTTTTATCTTTTATACTCATTTTATTTGCAGTGAAGAGCTGTCGTTCTCCTGCAGTTTGTTCTCTAAAGAGAAGAATCTGTTGACTTCCTCCTTCGGGGGATTCATTGCGTAACACAGAGACGTATTGAGCTACGTGACCACAATGTTGCTGTTACTGTTTTAATGTGGGTTCAGTAGTTGAATACTGGACCTATACTCATATGTCAGGATCATTAGTTGTGTCACTCGGGGCCATAAGATGCTGACTAATCAAGATCAGCTTCTCCACTACAAGTAAGGTCTGTTTTAGCGTCATAAGTATGTGGAACATGAAACCAGGGCCAGGATTTTACAAATATAGTCAGGAGGGACATTTTATTCATGCACCTTATTACGCTAAAAAGAATGCAATACTAGTGGAGAGATACTGCAGCATTTTTATTTTGTTATAATTATTAAATGTATTTTTAGATATAAGATTGTGTAATGCTGTAATGTAAACTCCTCCTCAGATCATTACTGTACTGAGTGAGGACATGACCTCGGTGTCCTCAGAGCTAAGGCCTTCATGGAAATATACAACTTTAAAAATCACACAAAACCAAGATCCTGGATTTGACCACACTTGCTGCTAATATTATTTCCATGAAACAAACTATTTAGTGGCCGTCTGCATTATGAGACAAATGTAACCAGACATTGTTGACTACAGTAGGGTTAGCTGAGGTCAGAGTTTGTTTGTGGCCGTCGAGCTTCTCTACGCGCGCGCGCACGCACACACACACACACACACACACGTACGTATACAGTAAATATTACAGCGAGACGGGGCCCCTGTGGCATGACTCAAATAATTTTTCGTATTGGTGTTGAGCAAACATATTTATAGTCATCTTGACATGTATACAGTCTGTAATCATCGCTCGTCCCTGTTTGACTCTGAGTCGTTAGAAAAGGTGTTGGAGTTCAAACTATACTGTAGTTTGAAGGAGTATCCTCTTCTTTAGTAGTTTTATTAGTCTTAAACGTGAGTTGTTTAAGGGTCATTTGGTTGATACTTTTTTCCTGAGTTATATGGTTTGTGTTTTTTAACAGCACTTTATGCTAATTAATGATGTTTATTTTTAATTAAATTTTAGATTTATTGTTTCTTTTCATTCTTCCAGTTTTCAGGTGAGCTAAGTTTGATCAGCCTGTTATTTATTGATTATGTTTAGTGCCTAGCAGGCGTCTGAGCTACACACCTCTTTTAATATCTGTGAGTTTGTGTCTGTGTGTTTTTCTTAAGTTGTTTGACTCGTGTCTCTTCTGTTATCTGTCACTTTACGTGGGCGACCAAACTCGTTTCCCCTTAAAGAAAAGTCTCTAAGCTAGAAATGGAACGAATAGTCGACTGAGAGAAATTTCATCGGCAACTATTATTATAATTGATTGAATGTTTGTGTTATTTGTCAAGTAAAAGTGATCTAACATGGTTCTGAATTGTGAGGATTTACTGCTTTTCTTTGTCTTATGTGTTCGTAAACTAAATATATTTGTGTTTTGGACTACAATAAGTAATGAGAAGATGCCAGCAAGTTGTGACTTCACATTTAATAGACCAAACATTAATTAATCAATTAAGAAAATGATTGGGGGATGAACTGATAATGACAATAATCATTCGTTGTAGCCCTAAACTGCATAAATTGAATATTGTAGTGTGCACTTTGATTTATTCAGGTATTTTTCGGTCAGTGTAGAGAGATCAGATGAAGGTGAGACAGATGGATGACCTGCGCTGGGACGTTACAGTTACACGGTCAGCATCTTAAACCTTTATTATGATTTCTAACCCCAGCAGCTGTTAGTATCTGGACTCCATCAACCACTCCCTGTCACTCTAGATGTAGTACCCTGTATTCACCACCAGGTGGTGCTAATGCATAAGGAAATGTGAGACCTTACTTAAGACTTAAGACTTTGAGAAACCACACAACCATTTGAAAAGTTTATTTCTACCATACACAAACTGTACAACACAGCGCATATCTGTTTATTATGAAATAGTAAAAGTAATAGGAAGTTTTCAATTTACAAACTACTTCAACTGAAAAAAAGCATTACATTTTAATTTAAAAGAAAAGAAAATACAATACAATTTCATATCATACTAATATCGTTCCACAAAAAAAGCATTTCACATTACAAAACATCAAATACTAACAGGGAAAAATAAATATTATTCACAAAACTTCCTGAGCAAACAATGTGTGGTATAGGAATTAAATATACAAAATTATAAATAAAGGATTGCTAGGTTTAAAGAATTTGATTCCGTTTTATTTTTAAAGATCAAAACTCTTTAAAACATTGAGTTTTTGGATACAATAGAGTCTCATTTTTCTGTAATTTGGCTCTTTTGCTGTTACATTTTTTTTCTCTTCGAATTGTCCTCGGCTACGTTTCTTTGACTTCATTTTGCAGAAATGAAAAATGTATTGCTCAAATGAATTACTGGGTCATTGGGATTAACTTCATGTAAAATTGAGACACGCACCGTATAGAACAGTGATGCAACACATTTCCCTCTTTCTGTTAAACCCAAGGGCAGTACGTTGAACTAAAAATACAAAATAATTGGATACAAAAGTGCAATCGATGCCAATAACTACCATTTGTCTTGTGTTTTCATTACTTTTTTTTTGTTTTGTTGTTGCGTTTAATGATTGAAACCAAAATGCGAGTTGTGTTGGTATAGACAGCTCGGTTTTTGAAATAGCTACTATTCAAATCTGCCCCAAGCGTTACAAGAATATTCAAACTGTAAGACTGGTTGAAGTGTTAAGGCTTGTAAGCAGTTTAAGATCAAACAGGAATAGATGTTTTTATTTTTTTATTCATTCCTTCCTTTTTTTTTCCCTCTCCATGCTAGCAAAAGGTAAAATAAACACCAGACTTTTCAATCTCAGTCGCGATATTTCAAAACCTGCCTCTGAGATTACAGCTACTGAGACACCGGTATTCAAACAGTCATCAGGAACGTTTCCTCCTATGAAAATAATTGTACTGTATAATAAATTAGACACCATCCACGTAATACTGTCCTACCACAAAACATAGTACTCGTATACCTTTATGGATTCATATACATTTAGGCACATACTATATGCACACTCCAACGTGTGTGCACAGAAGGCAGTTTAATATCTATATTTAAAAAAAGACATCTTGACAAAGTGGATTTTTGATTTGTGTTGCACTCTTCTTCTATGCAAAGCAGAATCTTGGCGTTCAGTTCACCGAATGATGTTGCATTTTTGCTCAGTGTCACTTCCTGGTTGCATTCAGCTGCTATTGGTTTAAGAAGGAAAAGGTACAGTACAGTTGCATTGCATTTTTTTTTCATCTCAGTGTTCACTTTGTCTCACCATACATTCAGTTTCCAATAAAGAAAGCAAAAGCAATACTTAAAAATATTGATTCTTAGTCGTTTTGGTAGGTTTTTACTTTGAAGGGAGATCCAACTTATGGTTTAATAATCATAATAATAATAATATAAGTTTTTCAACACTAGATGGCGAAAGTATGCCATGAAATTGGAATGTGCTTCTATGTAAATTTACAATGTGCAGAAAGTCAAACATATTTCTTAATTATCAAGCATTTACAATTCAAGGAATAAATAAAAATCGAGGAAATAAATACACTGATGAACAAATATAATAATAATAATAATAATAATAAATAGCGATAATACAAGTGACATGAACAGATACAGATTAAAATCAAGCAAACCATACAAAATAATTAAGTGCAAGAGGGGTAAAAATCTCACCAAGATAAACATATCAATTGAATGCAGAAACAGTAAAAGCATTACAAATCTGGCTGGTACTTTTTCTCAGTGCAGTGTATTTACCGGGAAACACATTTCCAAAAGCCTCGTCTTATACATGCAGCCAAGCCATCACTCTTCAGTAAAATAGAGCTATCTAGTGCCATTATCCCAAGTCAGAGAAACCTCTTGGTAGCTCTGCAGCTTAAACATGGATGCCCTTAATAGCCTGTTTGATATTATCCAAGAGGGCCTTGCACTCTGGAGAGTATTCATGCTCCGAGTTGTTGTACATATCAGTTAATGTGTTCACATAGGCTTCAAAATTATGCTCACTGATGGGTCCCTGCAACAAAAACATGTTTGACTATTAGTGAAAGCAAGCACAACAGAAAATGACAATTCAAAGAAAATGACATTTCTTCCATGTTAGATATAGTGAGTTGTAGTGGAGGCTGTGGTCAAGGCTTACTGTACCATTTGAGGCAGCTGAATGTCTGTTAGACTGTTAATGAGAGCTTGGCTAAGGCGTGCGAGCTCCTTCAGAAGGCTGTCATTGTGCTGTTCGATCATCTTGTTCTCCTCTTCAATCGTCCTCAAGTTACATTCCATAGACGAGATCTGCTTTCGGGTACAAAAACACACACGCACAAAAAAAATTATAAAGAATTCGTCAAATTCAGCGAATTTTTTAAATAAACTTGTCCGAGTAGATATTTACCTGCGTTTGAAGTTGCATCATATCTGCTTCTATTTTCATGTTGGATTCATTCAGCTCCTTAATTTCATGATCCAAATGTTGAATATCTTCTTTGTTTTCAACACCTGAGTTGGAGCATATCATCTAATTCATCATGTTCAAACTGAAAACATTGGTATTTTCTTTGCCAAGATACACGTAACTGCAAACTACCACACGGCATGTCAGGGTATCTTACCACTGCTGGTTTTCAGTTTGATGGTCATCATCTCCTCCTCCGAGTGCTTTTTCTTGATACTCTGTGCGTTCAGTGGGCAACCCGACAAGCTGTAGTCCAGCAGGTCATAAAGGACAGTTTTTAGGTGGGAGAATGTCACAAAACTTCAGCATCAAGAGAGATTGTGAATGAGAGTTGAGAATGCAACATGTCAACCAGCAGTGTTGTTTAGAGATAAAATGGAGGACAGGCGACCTCACCTTCTGTGAGTGGCAAACACATTATTGGCATGTCCAAGGCCATTGCAGCCAGGCAAGGGACAATGGGGCAGTTCCTGTTTATTGGCCTTCCAGGCAAAGGGCAGCCCATTGATGGACGACTCCTTCTGTCTTTTGGCAGCGAGTGGACAACTGCCCGCGCTGCGATGGGATGTGTATTTTCCTGATATATGGCCCTGTCCGTCACATCCCATTACTGGACACCTACCAGAGAAACCCATACATGTTGTAAACACTGCTGACTCACACAGGGAAAATGTAACTAACCTGCATTAAATAACATTTCTATGCTGCAGAGAAAACAAAGACATTTAGCTGCTCGTAAAATAACAACCACATCATTAAAAAAAAAAACTAAAAAAAACCTCTGTTTCAACAACTAGACCGGAAGATTTGTTAACCATTAAGTTGATTAATCCAGCCAAATGCTGATTAAAAATGAAGTCGCCAAAACTAAAAATAATCGCATTAACTAGAAGTTACTAATCCACTAAAACTTGAGTTAGAACGGACGCTGTGTTCAGCGCGTGCGTTCGGAGGTTGCTGATGTTTGCGCTTGAAAACAAAAGCACAAGTCACGCTGAATATCATTAAGAGTTTGTCAGTTGCATTTCCAGGCCTGTTTTTTTTTTTTTTTTTTTCTTCCTGCGGGTCAGTAATGGAGTGACATGAATTACAGATAATTGTCATGTATCCCCTCATGCGAAAGAATGTAATTTGGAGGTGGTGAACCCTTTCCCTTATTGATAAAGGTGAAAGGTCACCTGAGATGATACAAATGGCACACATGCTGTAGAGTGCTGCTGCAAAAAGCCTGTTTCAGCATTTCGTTACTCGACAGCAGCAGCACTTAGAGGACAAAACAACACCGGTGCCATTACTTACATCTACTACAGGTAGGTAGCTTGATGCAAGGCATCAGGACAATGGAGGCATGCCATATGGCCCACTGTTTACAATAATCTAGGGACATTTGCTACCCTCCCCCCCCTTTTCTCTCCCAATGTGTATGAGATCTATTCCAGTCTAATTCCTAAGCTCATGGCCTTGCATTAGTAATTAAAAAGAAAAAAATCTGTGTCCAGATGTATAAGTAAACAAGGGCTCATATATCTGACTTTTGGATTTAAACTGCAAATCAATTACATTATTTTTTTTCCAATAACACTTTCACAGACAATGATTAAGCTGCAAATGAGTGCGATGCCATCAGAGTGGGCAATTCGACGTTTTCTTAATATACTATAATTATAAAGAAAGCACTCAGTGGAGAGTAATAAGCCAGATATTCCATTCAGAAAATAGGAAAAAATACAAAATCCTGAAAATAAATCCCACAAAAACACGCTATTAATCCTTAGAAAATAATTCACTAATGTTACGACAAGAGAAGTATTATTTTCTTTGTTTAACTTAATGGCCTCCAGGTATAATGCCCCGGGGCACAAAAGCATGACGCATTTTCACAATGTTTTATCTTTTTATTTTATTTTTTTAAACAAAAAAGGAAAAAAAAAAAAAAATGACAGCATGGGATGAGGGGAAAAAAAATCTCTTACTTAAGCTCTTGCTCATCTTTGTCATCCTTGTTTGGTGTGAGCTTCAAACCTCCCTTTCTGGCACGTGGACATCCTGACAAGCTAAAAATGATTGGCGACAGTATGGGTTAACATGGAGGAAATCTATTTAAGAGTAAAAAATAAAAGCTAAGTAGTTACAGGCCGCTATGAGGTCTGAAATCTAAAGCTGTAAATCTACACAGTAAATGTCTAGTCGCTGGAGATATCGGCAGCCAAAAAAATATCAATAAAAACAAGAATTCGAAAAGTGCAGCATGTTTGCGGCATAAAGTGAGACTTTCACCATCTGTCTGAATGTCATGCATCTGACAAATGTATTTCATGCTCAGTTGCGTTGATTTTTCTCTGCTACCTTCTGTGCGAAGCATAATTCCCAGTCACGTGTCCGGATCCATCACAACCAGGTGTTGGGCACCTGCAGGTTGAGAGACACAGAGACCAGGTGCTTTTTACAGCAAAAGACTGCGAGCAGAGCGACGGGTTCATGCTAATGTGCAGAAAAGTAGTACAAAAGCCAACATGCTTCATGTGGAGTGCATAGAAATCATGCTTGGTGTGGAAGGGAGAAGGGGAAAGTAAAGGAAGGGAAAGCGTTGACCCAAAACAGGCTGCCTAGTTTAATGTACAAAATCCTTTAGCAACAATAACAGTTTTCCCAAACACATACTTTAGTTCCTGAGAGTTGGCTGCCATCAGTGATTTGAGTGTTTTGTCAGCCAGGGGACATCCAGACACACTGGAGAGGATAAAGAGCTAACAGTCACTTTAATGCACTCTTTGATCACAGCTGAATTAAATCATCTTAACACAATGTCTCAAAGCATTCTCATACAAAATCATTTGAAAACACGATTCCACCTCCTCTTGACGAGAACGCTTTCTCGTGTCAGCATGTTTTTAAGAAAGTTGACACATGATTTGAAATCTTAACTCTGCCAGCAACTGTGTCAACACAATTAAACAATCAGCACTGTTTCCCCTTTTGTCTGTATATCTGCTGCTAATGAGGACATAATTGTTTTACGGTACCTCCGATGTGATGCATAATTCCCCGTCACGTGGCCGCTGCCGTCACAGCCTGGGGTCGGACAGCTGCAGGAGAACACAAAGCATTAAATACACAGATTACTTTGGTTCCCACAGCTCCAACTGAATCTTTCTCTAACGCTGAGAACCTTTTTCATGGGCATTAAAAATCGAGGAAAGTTAGTACAGCGGGGAAGTTTAGTAGAAGAATTATTATTATGTTGCTCAACGTTCGGTTTAATGGTGTCTCTGAATGTCACTGAAGGGGGGAGTGATGTGCTGCAGAAACTAGAGGATCCTACTTTTGTTTTTTTCTCGAGGTGTGATTCTCAAGAGGAGACCCAGCAGAGCATGCACTCTAACTACAAGAGTTGTAAGCTTGTACGGGGGTATACAGGGAGACAACTCACTTTCAAATAGATACATTTCTGCTCCACATGAACCTGCAGACACACCAGTTACAATGACGTGTAACTCAGCGCTCACTTGTAACAAACTGTCCCACTTAAGCAAAGTTACGGTGTGTCGTTAATACTGACCATCTGCCAGCTAAAAGGGAGGCTCACGTTATGCACAGTCGGCTGAGCGGGGAGGTTTCATTCTTTAGCGTGACGCACCTCAGAAGCTCTTTCTTTGCGTCTCGTAATAGCAGCTTGGCTTTGGGGCTCATCATGCTGCCGTCTACATTGTAGTGTTGGTCCTCCAGGACAGAGATGTGATCGTAATCCTCCTGGTGAGACAGAAAATGTAAAAAAAAACCAAAACGTGACCTTCATTGTCTGGACTAAAACCGACCTGATCGACGATGACCTAAAAGTGAATAATTAATGAAAAGCAGTGTATAATACTCTTAAAACACAAGCCCTGGGGGTTACAGCACGATTATGCTTAAGGATACTTATACTCTAGTAAACCATACATCCATTTAAAGTCATTCTTAATCCACATAGTATTCATGAGGTATGGCCATGACGTATGGATTTCCTTTTTTTCTACAGACAAGATTGTGCAGTCACCAGATGTTGGGTGTGATTTCTAAAAGCAGGTCAAATGTGGTTATTCCTTTATCATAACGACTACAAATGGGGGCCAAAGGTGAAATAAAGGAAAGAGAAACTGGAAAGCCCGGATTAATATTCATTCTGGTACTTGAATGATATGTGGAGACCAGTCCTGTTTTCTAGATTGAAAGATCTGAAGATGGTCCCTTGTCTTCGAAAATGTCACAAAATGTAAAATATGGGGAATTTAGTAACCTGGTGGGGTTTTCTATTCGACACTTACAAAACTTTTTAGGTGGATTCAAGTATTTTTGGACTAAAGTTGACTACTTTTACTATTTTCAGACTAAATTCGACAACTTTTAGGTCAACAAGGTAAATAAATCAAATGAAAACTATTCTTTAATCGCTGTTGGCAAGGAGACAAAGCCTTCGACCTCCATCTTTGGAAATGAAATGGTAATAATAAACAGTAAATTCCTGGAAAGAACTATGTAATCTGGCAACAATTTTAGGGGTAAAGGGATAGATATTAGAGGAAACTTCTAGAAAATATGATTTTCACGGCTAAACTGAACAGATTTCAATCTGATTTCAACATTTTAGAGAAATGTAGAGCTTCAGCGTTTATAAACTCCTTTTAAAACTATGAACCTTATTCTCCACCTTTTCTCTCAGTCTTTTACTTTGTAGTCTGTTACTGTGCTGCTTTGTTTAACTGACTTGTCTTCGCTTGGTGACATGATAACTCACTGTTCTCTTGCACTTACTGCATATCTGACATTTTTAGATCACAACCAAAGTGTCAGTGGTTGTGTGGTTGTGGTGTTTTTGTACCTCTGCGTCCTGTAACACGTGAGCTTTGCTGAAGTTGACAGGGATGGGGCCGTCCCAGCTGTCTCTCTCACACAGCGGCTGGTAGAAGGCGGGGCTGATGAGCACGCTCCCGCCTTTGGCCACAGCGGCCTCAGAAAGGGACAGCGGGTCGTCCAAAGGGGGTTTTGTCGGGGCTTTCACATTGTCCTTGCACTTCTTCATGCTCAAGTCCAGGGTGCCATTTTCATCCACCTCTATGAGCATGTCCTAAAGGGCAAAGAAGTTTAACCCTCAACATTTAATCACGTTAATACCAGTAACAACATGTTGTATAGAAGAAGGGTACAATAAACAAAGCATGCCTCCCATATCACTGCAGAGCGTGCTACAGTAACATAAGAAAACAAATGAATCAGGGGATAAAAATAGAACCTATTTTCTAATTACACTAAAAGGGAATGTAAATAAAACCGCACGATGTCTAATTAATATGACAGCAGCGATATGGTATACTTGAACCCAACAACATTTCTCTTTAAAAATGACTTGAAACGCAGAGCAAACAAACATATTTAAATAATACATGCAGTGGTTATCTCACACCAGACAAAGTACCAAACTAAGCCAGCGTTAATTCTGCTGAACACAAAAAAAAATAATCACTGGTGTGTAGTTTTTCAGTGACAGCTGTGTCATCTGTTTTCTAGGACACACAACCATGATGGCAGCTGGGGGGGGAGGTTGCTGGTTTTAGGTCATCATTATTATAGCAAAAATTAAAAAGCTTAATGTGGCATAAGTTTCCCCGCTGACAGATGTGTTTGTCGTTTTTGTGCTGAAACGCAGTAGCATGATGACTTATGGCTGTTTTTATGGTGTTAAAAGTTTTACCTCGTTAAATGCTGAAATCCGTTTCCATAAATGAAACCAATTATTCAACGAATATGTTCCATTAAACCCTATACATCATTATTTATTATTTTTTGAAACAAAAGGGAGCTTTTCAAATTAATTAAAGGGGATGATTTGCATGAACATTGGATGTGGCTGTCCACTTAAATTATCCAGCCACTGGATGATGTGTGCACCTCGTCAAAATAACACCAGAGTAAAACCAAAGGATGTGCAACATTTGTTGTGATTTATTAAGATTTGAATGTAGTTTTTAACTAAAAACTTAAACCCAGGATTATTCTTTTCTTTTATTGATTTAATTAATGATTTCAGCGTCTCAGATTTTTAAATAAGTAAAAAGAAACAGCTTGTATTCACACTTTAAAGGCCAGTTACGTGGTGCTTTTTGTGTGCGATACATCTCAACACATAATATACATATGCAGATAAGTTAAAGCATCCGACGACATATAACACTCTAAATATGGCCCCTTTTTTCAGACTGGAAAGCTGTTCTTTATTTTGTACGTCTCTCCAAGACAACTAAGCTGTAAATGAGAACAGATGATTAACTTGCTAACACTGTTTTATTCATTCAGTGGGCTGGTACCTGGTACGGGGCCACATTCTCAGCTCAACAAGCTGGGAGACAAGGATCTGTGCTGTGTAGGTGTGGAAACCTTGAATCATCTACAGTACAGCGGGCACGTATGTAACCCACAGAATGCGATCAATATTAATCATGAAGTTTGGAAATAGCTAAACACAATGGCGCGTCGGAGATTTAGCGACAGCAGAAGAGATTTTGGAGCCACGTACACTTCCAAGAAGAGTTTGGAATTTGTGCGAATTAAACTTTTCAGATGTTAACTCCTTTAGCTGATTGGCTTAATCCATGAAAATGCTTTTAAATGCTATCTGGTGTAGACACACAGCCTATCCTGGATCATGTCACTAAGCAAAATATCCTCTGCCATCTGCAGCGGGCAAGAAGCAGTTTCAGACAACAGTTCAGGGTTTTTACATGCCAGCTGATGTCGAAACAAAATACAGTACCACATGTTTTATTTAAAAAATTGACGAGTAGTTGTAATTGGTAAAGAAGGCTGATTGTATTTCTTCTTTTTGATGTGATTACAGAACTATTCATTTGTGTACATTAAAGCCTTCATGGAGAAGCAAACTCCTTGTGTGTCTGCCACCAGAGCGCCAAGCTCCCTTTGCCAAATTCTGCCTTTTGATGTCGTCCCTTTTTATACACAAATCAGAGTTCCTTTAAAATGACCACATTAAATACCTTTCCAAGTGGTCTAATTTGATTACCTTTGTGGAGGTTGCCAAGGGCCGGCCGGCGACAGCCTCCATGTTCTTCCGGTAGCGGGTGGAGAGGTTAAGGATGGCGGCTGTCGCTGCTGCGGCCTGGAGGCCGTCTTCTTTTCTGAACTGACTCGGCGGGCTGTGCTGACCAGAGGTGGGCAAGCCGCCACCTGGAGCGCCGAGGAAGGCATGATACTGCTGAGGTGCTAAAAGACAAATAATTAGCGAGCATTAGAGTTACAGAGACACCGGGTGTTACTATCTAAACTTGATGGCACATATAAATAATATAAACAACCACTGATACAAAACAATAGATGCAATCCGTTAAAACATGACAAACTTCACATTTGCATGTAGATCTGTGATAGAAAACAAAAGGCTACATACCTAAAAGATGTGACAAAAAATGTATTCACCCTCAGTACCATGTTAACAAATAGCTTCTTTTTTTTTTTTTTTTTGCCGCAAATAAAATACGTGAAACTTACAATCAGGGAAATGTGGCATTTCCTGGTCCTGGTTGGTCCCCATCAGAGGCTGTTTGCCGAAGACCTGTGCATCAAAGCTGGCGTAATCAAAGCGGATTCGGCTGTACTTGTCCATGTCTTTTGTGAGGCTCGTTTTCAAGGCTGCTACTGGATGAGAGAGCCTGTAGTTCAACTGGTTCATCTCGAACTTCTTTATCAAGCCGATGGCTCTACCAGGAGACAAATTGGGGGGGAAAAGACTTAATTTTATTGTGCAAACCTTGTGAAATAACAAGTGCCCAATAAGCTCATATTAAGCAGTTAAGTAAAGATGTTGTTTTTGAACCATTCAGGGATGCCAGTGCTTTTGTACATAGTCTGGGATCTGATGTGTGTTGTAGATCCACAGCCAGGTTGCCAGACTAATTAATATAGTAGGAGTGGGCATCCTGCCCATGATATATCCACAGGGAACAAAGAGTTCTGCTCTTTTATCATCTCTAATAGAGAGGAACTCGCAGGACCAGCAACCATTGCTTATGTCTGCTTGGAAAGCTCAAAATAGACCGTTCGTTCTGCTGGGATCAGTGAATAAAAATATCCCACACTCCCCTCCACAATAATAGTGTTTATCACTTCTTTGCATAACCTCAGTTCCGCTTTTGCGACTTCAGTTCACTCCAGAGCTGAATATGATTTCTGGCCGCTCGTTGTAATTATCGTCCTGCACATGTGACCACATTGATAGCAGTGAAAAACCCCCCAGCGTTATCTGGCAGTGCGCTGTACCTCGGTGAGCGGTCAGGTGTTTGTCTGCATTTCAGGCTCTCGTCCTGAGGTTTGGAGACTTTCACGGCGGCGGCGATGGGGCAGCCTGAGAGACTGGGCCGGGGAGGAAATCAAACACATTAGCCTAATACCGTAACTCGTCTATGAACAGGGTGCAGATTTCTAATGGCTTTTCCGCTGTGGACGTACCTCCGGTGGGTGCTACGGTTGCTGTTGACATGGCCTCTTCCTGTGCACCCGGGTGTAGGGCACTTGAGGACGTTCTCATGCATGGCCAGGACTGAGGGGACGAGGACAGAGAGGGGAGATCAGCTCAGAGAGAGCCCAAAATAATTCAACAAGACAGAATCAAGCTGGAAGATTATAGGATGATATATATATATATATATATATATATATATATATATATATATATATACACAGAGCATTTTGGAACTAAAACAAACACATTTTCACATATTTAAATGATGGTTTATGTAACTGGTTGGTACATTAGTGCCTATAGAGTAAAGATCCTACAGAAACGGGAGCGGGAAAAAACAAACAAAAGGCTTTGTGAGGAATGCTGTAATGTGCCTGAAATGTAAATAGCTTAGTGCAAAGAGGAGCGTAACAAGACAGCCGATTATATTCTTCAAAACAAACGCGTCGTTAAAGGTCCGCTCTGTATCCTTAGAAACTTCTTTTCTGTACACATTCTCCAATTAGTTTGTTGGAGTTGTCTATTTATTTTAGAATGCTGCGTTAGCTAGCCCTTTGATTTGCAAATACTGCCTCCAGTCTAAGAGCACGCGCTTTTTTTGAAAAAGTTAATTACTTTTTCTGTTCCTTTTGTAACATTACTGTTTAATGTTGAATGTTTGAGTTATATTGAAATGACTTGACAATCGGCAATGTGAGGGGTAAAAGAAAAGAAGAAGAATTCAATATTCACACATTACAGCACATTAAGAGAAAGAGAGAGGGAGAAGACATCCTTAATCCTAAGTTTATTTGAAAAGTTTCATGCACATCTTTTGAATTGAACTAAATGTATAAGCAGGTCTTTCTTGTCTTTGGGTTCGTGCTAAGAGGATTTAAATTACTGTGACAGATTATAAATCCTTCAACTGGCAGTTTTTACAAGTATAAATCATCCATTATTTAAAAACAGAAGTGCTTGTGTGACTTACTCTCTGGAGGAACTCTGACTTTGTGAGGACACCCAGACAGACTCCTGTGGTGCGGGTACAGGCCGGTCACATGACCGGTGCCATCGCAGCCAGGAGTCGGACACTTTATGTCCTTTTTATCTGTGCGTGGAGAATCTGCGGACACAGTAAAACAAGATTTCACAATAAATAGATATAATACAACCACTGTACCGATGCCTTAATGCACCAAATCCTTCCTGTCTTTACGTGTGTTCCATCAAGAAATGTAGAAATAAGTGAAATAGACACATAATGTACTTGCACTTTCCTGCACACATATTGTACATAGGTCGACACATTGAAATATCATGCAAAGCTAGACACTTTTTTTCACAAAATGCATCTATTAATCTGCCATTTTAGTTAAGGCTGCAGTTCAACATTCACTTCTTAATGCCCATCCATCGAAAGATTACATCTCGGATTACACATTTAGCTGCAGTGATTTGAAGAATCAGAGGGAAGCATGAGAGGTACTTTAGGAGGATTTAAGACTTATGGTCATGGTTAAATATCCAGTGGATTCCTATCAAAATCCAATATTCTGAGTAGTAGCAATTCCATCAGAAAATGTTATTCTTCTTTATTTTAGTCATTTATTACTTCACTTGTTGCCAAAATGTTTTAGTACGTAAGAGGATTTCCTCTCTCTGATTTCCCCCCCCTCCCATGCGTTTCCTTCTTTTATTCCTTTTAATGTTTTTGGTTTTTTTTGAGCGACCAATCATCCAAATCACAAGTGGCCTGTCTGATTTAGGCCGGATGAAGGTACATTCGTGAAAACTGATCGCTCCTTTGTGATTGTCTTTAGATCATCTTACATCATGGGTCTTTCCCTGCATGTTGTTACCTTTTCCTCCATGATAGTTGAGCCTGCTGTCTATGTCCATCATCCTGTGGTGCCTCCTCTCGTTGGTCATCTGCCCCATGAGGAACCGGTCCATCTCCCTGTAGGCGTGGTGCAGGACCTGCCTCTGCTCCGTCTGCAGAGCTATGGCCTGCTCCAACAGGCTGAAGTTCACCCTCCCTCGGCCCATTTCCAGGCCTCTTTCGTGGAGGCCCAAAGCCCAGCCGTCCAGCTGAGGCGGCCTCTCCACCTCCGCCTCCCCCTCACTGTCCTCCTCCGCGGGGAGCGGCCTGTATCTCAGAGCCTCAGCCTGAAGAATACTCGCCCGACCCATCGGACCACCCAATTCTAAGTGAGGCTCCTCTTTCACGTGGCCGTTCCTGCCCGGTAGGTCTTCAGAGGCTCTGGAGGGGCTGCAGTGGGAGCCGTTCAAGTTGGCAGACAGAGACAGAGGCTCCCACTCAGCCTCCCTCATGTCTTTGTACGGACTCTGTGGCGACGACGTCCCACTCATCCTGTCTCGACTTTGGTCTTCTCTTTCATTGTTAAGGAGCTCCTCGTCATCTTCATCCATCAGAGGCTCGGATGCGTCCGGCTCACACTGCGGAGAGCCATCGGATGTGATTTCTGACCATCCGAGAGAATCGCTGGACTTTGCAGCCGCGTCGTGGCAGCCATTTTTGTAGGCAACTCCATTGATTGCGCTCAAGTTCCCATCTAAAACAACAAGACAATTCTTTATTATTTTATGTGTTTACAAGACTTAACGGACCAAACATGTTCTTTTGAAACCCCTCGATCACACACATAATAAGAATTGTATGTCGATGATAATCTTCTCTAAATCCTTTTTAAAGGTTTTAGATTCTGTTACTTTTCTACAAATATGTTGAGGAAAAACATGTTTTTTATAACCTAGAGGATTTACAAGAACACATGTTGCAATAGAAATGATAATCATAAGGTTGCAAGATTTCCAAGCAATTTCTCAAGCATATTTTAGAAAACATATATATGACCCTTCTGTCTGCTCGTTGAACATGAAACCTGGAGATGAGAAACACAATTGTTTTCTTGTGTCTCCAATTGGTGCAGCAACCCAATACAGATTTAGGACAAGATTACAGAAGGATTGACTGTGCCGTGGACAGTGAACATCAGTTGTTTTTCATTAAGTACGTGTAGTTTTAAGTGCAAACCAAGCAGCAACATGTTGTCATCGGCACAGAAAAAACACATAAATAGTTGTTTCGAGAGATGTGAACAAGGAAAGTGAAGAGGATTCCTGAAAACACAGATGGAGGAAACTACAAACATGAAGATAAAAGAGAGAAATCTCTGTTAGCTGCTACTTTCTGAGCAGCAGAATTTGGTTTAGGAGAAGCCAACTATACACCTTAAAAACTGACTGATTTTGGTTACAAAAAAAAACGATAAAGGCACAACGGCTAACAGTGTCCACAGTAATGAGTGGCATTACTATGTGAACATATGAAAAATACAAGTGATTAGATAATTAAATTCCATAGGAATGTGCATCTCTAATTCAACTGCTGTTTCTTAAGAAAATAGTTATGAGAAGCTTGAAAGAAGTGGTTGAAAAATAGCTTTAAGTGTCAGAATTAAGAGAAATGTCGAGTCAATTTAACTTATGTCCGTGGGCAAAAAAAAAAATTAGAGTAAATTATGAACAACCCATAATAGACCATTAAAACGCATAATGCTGCAGGAAATAATTAGTAGATCATTTAATTGATTGTTTCTAATGTCAAGTATCTATTTTTGGAAGATGCCTCATTACGTTCCTGACTTTTGAGTTTTGAAATCCTTGTGGGTGTGATGAGGTACCACATATGTGATGCATGTGTAGCAGTATTATTGCAGATTAATGAAATACAGTGGGTACGGAAAGTATTCAGACCCCTTTAAAGTTTTCACTCTGTTTCATTGCAGCCATTTGCTAAAATCAAAAAAGTTCATTTTATTTCTCATTAATGTACACTCAGCACCCCATCTTGACAGAAAAAAACAGAAATGTAGAAATTTCTGCAAATTTATTAAAAAAGAAAAACTGAAATATCACATGGTCATAAGTATTCAGACCCTTTGCTCAGTATTGAGTAGAAGCACCCTTTTGAGCTAGTACAGCCATGAGTCTTCTTGGGAATGATGCAACAAGTTTTTCACACCTGGATTTGGGGATCCTCTGCCATTCTTCCTTGCAGATCCTCTCCAGTTCCGTCAGGTTGGATGGTGAACGTTGGTGGACAGCTATTTTCAGGTCTCTCCAGAGATGCTCAATTGGGTTTAAGTCAGGGCTCTGGCTGGGCCAGTCAAGAATGGTCACAGAGTTGTTCCGAAGCCACTCCTTTGTTATTTTAGCTGTGTGCTTAGGGTCATTGTCTTGTTGGAAGGTGAACCTTCGGCCCAGTCTGAGGTCCAGAGCACTCTGGAAGAGGTTTTCTTCCAGGATATCTCTGTACTTGGCCGCATTCATCTTTCCTTCAATTGCAACCAGTCGTCCTGTCCCTGCAGCTGAAAAACACCCCCATAGCATGATGCTGCCACCACCATGTTTCACTGTTGGGATTGTATTGGGCAGGTGATGAGCAGTGCCTGGTTTTCTCCACACATACCGCTTAGAATTAACGCCAAAAAGTTCAATCTTGGTCTCATCAGACCAGAGCATCTTATTTCTCATAGTCTGTGCGGGCTTTCATATGTCTTGCACTGAGGAGAGGCTTCCGTCGGGCCACTCTGCCATAAAGCCCCGACTGGTGGAGGGCTGCAGTGATAGTTGACTTTGTGGAACTTTCTCCCATCTCCCTACTGCATCTCTGGAGCTCAGCCACAGTGATCTTTGGGTTCTTCTTTACCTCTCTCACCAAGGCTCTTCTTCCACGATTGCTCAGTTTGGCTGGACGGCCAGGTCTAGGAAGAGTTCTGGTCGTCCCAAACTTCTTCCATTTAAGGATTATGGAGGCCACTGTGCTCTTAGGAACCGTGAGTGCTGCAGAAATTCTTTTGTAACCTTGGCCAGATCTGTGCCTTGCCACAATTCTGTCTCTGAGCTCCTTGGGCAGTTCCTTCGACCTCATGATTCTCATTTGCTCTGACATGCACTGTGAGCTGTAAGGTCTTATATAGACAGGTGTGTGCCTTTCCTAATCAAGTCCAATCAGTTTATTTAAACACAGCTGGACTCCAATGAAGGAGTAGAACCATCTCAAGGAGGATCAGAAGAAATGGACAGCATGTGAGTTAAATATGAGTGTCACAGCAAAGGGTCTGAATACTTATGAACATGTGATATTTCAGTTTTTCTTTTTTAATAAATTTGCAAAAATTTCTACATTTCTGTTTTTTTCTGTCAAGATGGGGTGCTGAGTGTACATTAATGAGAAATAAAATGAACTTTTTTGATTTTAGCAAATGGCTGCAATGAAACAAAGAGTGAAAAATTTAAAGGGGTCTGAATACTTTCCGTACCCACTGTATATATGCATTTCTTGTTAAATTTCACATTAATTGGTCATTTCATATAGCCTCTTTTCTCTAGCTTATTTTGCTAAGTGCTCTCAAATATTTAATTTGCCTTTGTCCTTTGGCCGTCTATCTTTTAGCATAAATCCAGAAATCCCGGTCACGTGCCGAAAGCCACAAGAATGTGTGACGCTGAAAGCCCGATCAGTGGAACGGACAAAGAGGGTTAGAGTTATCCTAAGTGCAACAACACTGAAACAACACTTTATTAACACCACTGATTATATTAAGTCATGGTCAGTGATTAACAATGGGAAGCTATCATCTGGATTGATTCAACAAAATCTCTCTTGATCCTCCAAAAGCATTCAAACTTATGCTCGATTAAGGCTCTTTGGACTGTGAGGGTTTTTACTTTCAGCGCCGGACTGTGGACCCAGATCCTCTTAAGTGGCCAGACACCAGATATTCGATAGGTTGAGAAGATGGATAGATTGATGGATTGTGAGAATCAGATCACACAATGTTTAGGATGATACAGATACATTATTATTATTAGTGGGAGCAGCAGGAGAACTTAATCCTCGCCAAAAGAGCTTCAACAAAATATGTGGCACTAACAACAAAAAGACAAACTATTTTTTGTATATATATAAATTCAGTTTGTGAAAATATTTGAAAAGAGGTGTTTAAAGACAAACCCTGTTGAATGAAAAATTAAAGCCAGTTGCACTTATTTACATTTATGAGTCGAGCAACAAGGGTTTTGTTTTTCATCCAGATGGACTCCACGGCCTGACACAGCCGCGTACGCTAGCACACAGGCCTATACACACACACACACACACACACGCATACTAGCGCAGAGACACAGAAGTGCGGTGAAAAAAGGAAAGAGATGGAGGAAAAAAACTTGGATCCCTCCGGTGGTTTGTGTGTTGGAACAGGTGAACAGTTTGTACTCCAGAATAGCCATTACCAGCACTCTGCAGCAGGGCTGCAGTTGGCTGGAGTTGAACGCAGTGTGGCTCGACCAAACGAGAGGCTTATTTTTCTCCCTTTTTTGTTAAAATGCAGATATAACCAGCTTCCCACAGCAACAACAACAACAAAAAAAATCTTCCTGCCTCCAGTCCACTTGTCCAATTTTAGTTTTTTTTGCAGAAAATAGCCCCCAAATCTGACAATAACAGCAAAATATGTTCTGGAATTGTTTATCAATACACATGTTCATTTGACACTCTTCAGACTCCTGTTTATTCTGCCAGCATTTAGTTTTAAAGCTGGTCCACTGAATATCAGGGTCAAATAAGGAAATACAGCTGTCAATCAACTCTGGATGATGAATAGAAAAAGTATCTAGAATCCACAACAAAAGGAAAAACTGATGATGCACAGTGAATTACTTCGATAATTGTAATGTAATATGAACCCAGGAAACAAATACATTCCATTTCCAATGAATCCACACAATTCAGTGAGCTACTCTCCTGGTCCATTTAACTACACACACGTGTACTATAATGAGCTGTAGACATTATGCCTAATTATGTATTAGACTGTGTTAGAGGGCCTAACAAAAGCTTTTGAAAGGGACAATTACGTTTGTTGCTTAGTTACATCGTTAAAAATATACCAAATCAGTGCAGATTATAGTGGGCGAGAATGCACATCTACGCCACAAACATTGTTGCCAAAATGCACAAAATTTGATTCATTAGGAAAAAAGAAAACATTTTCGCTCGCTGAAAAAGGAGAGTGGCATAAGAGAAAGCAAACAATTTGTAACTGTTGTTGCTGAAATGTTTTTTTTTTTTTTGTGGTTTAGTAAAAATAAAAACTGTTAAACATTAAAACATACGCCAAGCAATGTTGACGCCTCATTTGTTTTTCACAATAGGCGACATCAGTGTTAATTCAGTTTCAACGAAACGGAGGAAGTTTAATTTAAACCAAAGTGAACTGGTGCACTCCCCCCATTCAGTGGCTCATTCTATGGATTCAATGGGTTTTGGACTGGCTTTTGAAAAAGGACAGATGAGGGGTCTGAAATCTGGCCTCATCAAAAGAGGGTAAAGCCACGCCAAAAATATCATGGCAGATCAGCTGTCAAAACTTCAATTTGTGGACGTGAGACACAACTAATGTGGACCCAGCAGTGTAGTCTTTCACTTCCACTGCACAATGACTGCGGCTGCTGGCTGATGGCAGAGGGAGGGAAATATGAATGCAACAGATGGGATTTTAAAATTCAGCGTCAATTGTTCATCAAAACAGACAAAACAACAGGACATCTGTTTACCTGCTGGAGTGTCAATGTTCCTCAGCTCTTCTTTGTCCTGTGGCGGTGCCAGGTCCTCGCTCTCCTCTTCACATGCCTCGCTGGGGCTGTAGTGGCGGGGCTTCATCAGCAGGGACTTTCTCTTGTTGACGGGGGCGCCCTGCACCCCTTCCTGAGCACTCCTCTTCCTCGCCATGGACCCATATGGGCTGGAGGGGTAGAGGGGAACGGACAAAAAGGTACAGCAGGGTCAACGGAAAAAAACCCATTAAAATTTGAGACTTTCTTTTATGAAATAAAAGAAATAAAAAACCTCTTAATAAATAAATGATCTGGGACAGAAAGTATTTCCTTTTTGGAATGAAGATGAGAAAATTCACGTCATAAAGTTTCACCTGTGAGTCTCGGTGATGCAGTCGGCCAGCCCTGTGGAATAAAAACCCAAAAAGAACAGATAAAACATCATGTTTACATTTCCACTACAGCAGCACAGCATCTGTCGACTTATTCGTCATCAAAGGTTCAAACTGACTCACTACTTTTGGGGGCGATTTTGCTCATGAAATGTTTTACAATGTTCTGTAAATATTTGTTTTGTAGCTAATGATTTAGGGATGATGCCACCTGGGTTAATACTGCTTTAACCTTTATTCTCTTTTACAATGCCATCGGGTATAATCAGCACAAGGACGGAGAAGTGCTCCCGCCATTGATCTGAAACGGTTTTCATTCAGTCTGCTCGTTCTCTTGGAGACCAACGGCAGCTCATCCTTTGACAACATGATCTAAAAAGGCGAAATCAATTTCCCCCAAGGGCCCCGCGTGAATCTCATTCACAAGTTCTAGCCCTACTCCCATGAAGCACAACCAACAATAACACTTTTCATGATTTTTCTTCTTCTTTTCCCTAGATGTAGTAATAGCTCCAGCGTGTGCAGTGTGGGCCTCAGAGGCCCTGAACACTTGCATAATGACACATCCAGTCTAGAGGTTTTCAATCACACAATATATACACACACTCCTTAACTAATTTGAGCCAGTGTTCCAATTTTAATGAAGTTATTCCCCTCTGAATAATGAAATGGCTGTGCAGTGCTCTTCAGACCGGTAAGATCATACATAAAATTGACAGTTATAAAGTTGGATTGTTGAACCGATACCCCTAACCCGTGGCGATAAGTGGAGCGTGTGTGTGTGTGTGTGTGTGTGTGTGTGTGTGTGTGAGAGAGAGAGAGAGAGAGTGTATATTTAGTTAAAAGCAAACTAAAAACTGAAATCTGCTCTCACCTGTGCTACCGTTACATGTTTTCAGGGTTTGCTCCTCACCTGTAGAATCCATCTGTAAAATAAAAGCATGCGATGTACAGATGAGCCACTAAACATTTTAATGTATTTAATTTGTACTTCTTTTATTTGAAATGGAAAAAGAAGCTTTATAGATTTTTATTTTTTATTTTTTTCAGCCTGTGAGCCTTAAAATCAATAGGTGTGCATGACAACATCACAAAGAGCTCCTAAAAAACATCAGCAGTATGCAAACACACAAAGTATAACGTTACGAAAAAAAGAAGTTTCAAAGGTGAGTCAAAATGTAATGACGCTAAATAATGACATTAAAGTGCAGACGGCACCTCACTGTGTGTGTGTGTGTGTGTGTGTGTTTAGACAAAAATAGTTGCTAAAATCCATCCACTCTCGGTGGCTGTTGCTTGTGGGTCCCAAATAAAACCTATTAAACATAATTATTCCAGGCTGATGGTGGCGTATAGTGGTCACAGGCCAGTGAAATCTGTGAGTCATAGGATATGCTGTTACTTTTCCCTGGTAATGGGAAACATGACTCCTCTCTCTCGTTTGCTGTTGTGATTGAAGGCACTGACCTGTCATACATTTATAATAGGGGAGCAGGTGTGGCAGTGATGGACCTTAATTTCCTTTAATAAACCTTTTATGTGCCACACTCTTAATGCCACGCCGGGCCCTCAGAGGTCCTGCTCATAATAGGTTCATTACTTTTGATTACTACAGCCTATTGAGACAAACAACTCCCAAACACTATAGATTACATTCTGTAAAAACCAATGTACCTCATTAGTTTGCCACACTTTTCCACACAGACATGTTTCAACATTTTGGATGAATTTGTTGTTTTGAAGGCAAAACGTTGCTCTTACGTCCTTGCAACCTGAGATTGTAACATGGACGTTAATCAAAGTTCAAATGACGTTATCAGCGTACCGAAATATCACCACTGACTCACACATGTTTATTACCATGGTGGTGTTTTTTTTTCTTTATTTGACATTTTAGAAGTGCTCTCCTCCTGCAAATGTGTTAAAAACTATTGTATCATTAAACATTTGTTTTTTACTTTTATGTATTTTTTTTATTCCTCTGGATTAATTAAGAAAATATGTTTGTATTGATAATATAAACATCATGCTATAATTTAATTTGAAAAACAACGTAATGCTACAGGAATCACCGAATAATGGTCAGTTTAATCACTCCTATGCCTCCAACCAATGAAACACAACGTCTGACTATTGCTCAACATATTTTGTATCGCGTATCCAGTTTCACATATTATAGTCTGACGAGCAAATTGATACCTTTCTTTCGTTGGCATTGCTTTTAAATTGAGTCACGTGTGCCGTTCTGGACATAATTATGACGAAACCTACAGGCAGATTTTGACAAAGCAGAGGTTACTGTACATCTAATTCACGTAACAAGAAGTGACAAGTAACAAGAGAACAAGGAGGGTCTCCGTAGACACTCTGGTGTACTAACGGGTAGTCCTGGCATGGCAGCAACGTGGACAAACATGTGACGCTGTGTGTTTACAAAAGCAGAACAAATAGATGCATTCAGGGTCAAATTAGAGATTTTATTTGGCGTTCACTGCACAATATGACTGAGGCCTTTTAAATAATTTACCTTTTTAATGATTATTGTATGAAAGTTCTTTTGGGTAAAGTATTTTATCTAAATACAGAATTCTATATTTAGTGTAAGTTAATGAAAAATGATTTACTTTAACCCCGTTTTTTAGCCGTCATGTATACTGTGTACACATTTAATAAAGGGTTAATAACACATAACGCCTCCTGCAGGCACCAATAAGTGGAAACTGGTGTGTAAGATAATCAATGACGTATTCAGTTGTAATAATGTAAAATATGTTTCTATAGATTAATACGCACTTAAAACATCATTATATCTGCTAAATAGGAGAGTTGTATTTTTTTTAAATTGCATTTACTTAACAAATGTCTCATTCCAGCGTAATAACTCTCATAACTTGATGATTGACGGTGCAAATACAGAACAATACTGTTTTTTTTGCAGAAAAGTAATGTCCTTCAAGTCCTTTTTAGTCGTTTTTGTTCAGTTTTTCATTTTCTTACCTAAAAATGATGTTGGTGTTAAAACAAAACGTGTTTCCATCTTAATGTCGTTTCCTCAGCTATTTACAAAAATGTTGTAGGAACGATTGTTTGATCACTTGTCCAGCCGGACACAGAAATAAGGCCACAGAGTAGAATGTTTAAGGTGTTGTAGCATGTTTTACTACAAAACATGTTCATTTACATCACTGGTTAGCATTTTCCAAAGCTGTATTACCAGCCCTCTGGGCAGTGTGTTATACCAGTGTATACTGTTAAAACACTAGTATGGTCCTTTAAAGACCTTGTATCAGATCTCTCTAAACTTTGTATTATGGTTTCAAAGGAGGTTTTATCAGGTACAAAACTAACTGAGATGACCTGACAACTATCAGCCATCACTTCAGACAAAGCAGACTCAGCAATACCTTTTTATATTATGTGGCAGCCACCCACAGCTCTGCATAAGTCAAAAACAGTCTCAGTTTGTGGTCAAAAGAGCAGTGACACCCCGCCACTTAGCATGCTACTTAAACAAAACACTGTTACACAATCATCGAGAGACTTTCTGTGCCGAACAAAAGTTATTTTCACGCTGTAGGTCATATTCAATCCCTTGTCTGTGTCCGATTATGTACCTTTGATTGTAGTTTTCCGAGCGCTCCGTAGGATAAGATTCCAGATCCGCACTGTCCACGCTGGTTGATGCCTTCACACTTGTAATCTCTCAGGAGGTGATCATGTAATTCATTATCTGTAACAGAAAAAAAAAACACCAGATACGAGTTTATAAAAATCTGCAACTTTTTTTAGCGCATATTTAAATCAATGGTACGTCTCTGAACCATGTATTTGAAGGTTTTCATTGTTACATTTTCATAACGTAGAGACTTGGATGTGAAAAAGGTGGAAAGAGCATATTAATACCTCGCATGGAATAAGGAACACGATGCAAATTGATAGCATGACAGAGATCAAATTGCTTGCTTCTAATTAATACAAAACATCCAAGAGGGAAAACAAGGATGAACACAATGAGTACATTAAGCCTCTTCACTTCACAGATCTTATTATGGAATCATTTATTTCTGTTAGCTTTGGAAAAAAGAAAAAAGGCAACATCTTCTTAATTATAGCTCACAGAGCGCTTCCCCGGAAAAACAAAACTGGGGGAAAAAAGAAGAGGAGGGGGAGTGAGGGTTATTCACTCGGTTTCATTAGCATATGAAAAAAGACTCTCCACTATTTGAGCTGGTTCATCATCTGCTGAATCATATTTATGCACCTCCCCTCCCTCCTCATACACACAACCCCAAGTCCAACACAAATAATGCTTCTCAGAGGACCTTTTCCCTGCGTCTGGGGCAGATTTCTCAGGGGGAAAGGGAGGCAGCCTGATGCTGAGGGGTCTATGAGATTTTCTATGTGTTAATCTGGCTGCTAGCTGTCCTTGAGCCCAGCCCATTCCCCCCTAACCCCATCTGCTAGCATTCCCACCACAGAGGAGAGAATGGGCTGCGACTGGGGGTAGAAAAAGGAGAGGGACCTTCCCAGTCCAGCAATCATGAATAACCATTGCCTCGCACCATTATCAGAGAGGCAGGATCCAAGCTGAGACGGTGGTAGAGGAAATATCTGTAAAACACCCCGGCGCTCCTGACATTGCTCTCACCACACTCTCGCGGTTTTTTGTTGTAAGTGATGCTATTATTATTATTTTCATATAATGCCTTATTAATGCCGTGCAGCTGCTGTGGATATTCATCACTGACCTTGAGTCTTTGTGTCCCCTTGTTCCCAGCTTATCCGCGCACTTGGGACGCTCTCATGTAATTAACACAGACATTATTGTGATGGAGTAAAAAAACTCACTGGGCTGATACCTCATCCTGAAACCAATAAAGCAGGCCGCAGTCGCAAAGTAAGATTCTGGAGACCATAAAATTAATTACATTATTTACATTTCCTTTAGATAGAGGGGTACAGGCGAGATGATGGAGGCAAATGAGATTACACAAAATAAGATTTCAAAATGTCAGTGCTGCACAGTCAACCAACCAACTGTTATGATTAGATTACTCTTTTAATATAATTACTGTCTAAGGCTGTGTGTGGAAACAATGCATACATAAAATAAAAAACACATATGAGCTGCATCTTTCCTGATTCCCATCCTTTTTTCTCCACGAGCCTTTTTCTCTTAACCTTTCTTCAACGGTATCATTTTGAATTATAGGGAACGGATGGGTGCTCTGTGCAAGGTCACTGTCTGGTGTGTATCCCCCCCCCCTCTCCTTGTTTTTGTTTCTTCTTCCAGAAGCACACTGAGTGAAGGGTTAAAACTGGAATGGATTTAATTATGGAATGAATGGAATTATAATGCGCCTGCAGCAAGTTTTCCTCCTTATTTATTAAAGCAGCTGATGGGCCAGGTTTGATGAGCCACTTCTGGCATAATTGAGTCATCACACAAAGAGGGTTCCTCGCATTCAGAGTGGTTTTATCAGCAGCAAACAGACCTGATTACTGGCAATTACACTCTGATCTAGGGGAAGGAGAAAAAAAGGGTAAATGTGCGGGGTAACTTCTGTGTTTATAGTTTACCCCGGGAATAATTTTCACATTAATTTTACATGCTAAGTGTTTTCTGTTTATGTATAATAAAGAGCAAACGGCAAGGAGATAGCACCTTTTACTTTCATATTTCCTTGTAATGAATGTCTGAGGATATAGCGAGCTGATCGTGATTTATATTTACCCTATAGGAGGTTTGTGATTTGCAGAGAAGCAGCTGAACATAAAGCCAGATGGAGCAAAAGGTGAGCTGCTTGTGCTCACACCCATTCTGTGGGAAGCAGGTAGAACTATATACAGAAAGCAGGCGATTGCTTTTGCCTTCCTTTTCATAGAGATGCAAATAACTTCGCGGTGAGTAAATTAAGCTCTGCTCGGAGATTAAAATCAACTTCTGTTCAGAGAGTATTTAGATAAACAACTTTTCTTTTTTTTGTCTTTTTTTGTGAGGTGGCCAGGGAGCCATCAGACGCCCTGCGCCTAAATACCAGCTGGACATTAGAATAATGGCTGAGATATATTTCAGGAGGGGGGAGGGGACAAAAGAGGTCTAGGATGTCTAATTTATGTCTAGAACTTGGCATACAATTCTATTTTTTTTATTTCACAATGTTTATTTATCGGTTACCTTTGTAGTAAAATTGACAGTTAATCAACACTTAATTGCACTGCAGAATAAGCTGTTTCCATAAGAAAATGATATATTCTCTCAATTGAATCAAGGGAACAGTCTTTTATAAATGACCCCCATTGAATGCTTTAAATATTAACATGAGTTTATTTAGTAAAAATAAAAATATCTGGGTTTTTTTGTGCTGTATACTGTTCATATATATGACCTTTTCAAAGAAAATAAAAAAAGAAAATGATTCTGCCGGCAATTTATGAGCATTCCTCCGTCTGATGGAGGTTTCTGGATTCGTGCAGACACAGTCAAAAATCTTGAAGTCAACTGCGATTTCCGATATAACAGCCTCACAGCTACCCTGACGGCCAAGCAAAGTGTTTGTGCCTTTTGCCAAAGAGTACTTTTATAGAGGAGCGTATTGGCATCTTATCACTTCTCCAAGACAGAGATGCTTCAATAAAAGAACACAGCTCACAGAATTCTTAACAGACAATTAGGAGCCTGGCTAGCCGCTATCGCTTCAATGATTTGTTATGATGGCATAACTACAGGGGAAACTTGTTATTGGACGGAGTTAGCAAGAGTCCCATAAAAGAGTCAGATGGTGACACCTTTGCCGCGGTGATTTATGAATCTTGTAATCGCTTTCCAAAGTCATCCCAAAGCCTTCCCTCTAAATTGAGTTCATCTGGAGCCGGACCACACAAAGGCACCAAGTCCAGATTGTTTCTTCTGACATCAAAGAGCCAATTTCTGTTTTTGACCAAATTTCTGGTGCTTTTAGTTCCCTTATCGTATGAAAGGCGCCTGCATGATATGCTATTTTATTTGTGAATTCAATCCAATTAAGAACACCAAAAATATTGAGGCAAATAGAATTAGTATGTTCTTGCACTACACTTATGCATCAATAGCATAACAAATGGAGTGGCAGACAATCCATCCATTGGCAAGTCTCCAGTCTGCCGAACCACACTCATGTTAGTTTGAATCTTTGAATTCTGTCATGAACATGTTTTTTTCAAACCTGTCTAATTTGGGGGACAGGTGTTTGGGGAAAAAGAAGTTCCAGCCCCGGTGTAACAATGAGCGGAGTAATCCCGCTCATTGTTCCTGCCCAAGGAGGCCCTTTCATGGAGGAGGGTTGCATGAATGCTACCAGGTGGTCTGCAATTTGGAGAAACGTAGTAACCGTTCCAGCTAATCCCCCCCGTCACAAAAGGCAGGTCTCCAGTGCTCCGGGGCTCTCCGGGGCTCTCCAGGGCAAAAGGAAAAGTTTACCTCAAACACACAGTGTCTGAAAGGAGTCAGGGACTCGAGCAGTGATTCCTAATCAGATTGCGCTGAAGTGAACAGCTCGCATGGCAGCTGTAGTTTTCCCAGGGTTAATTACCTTTCACTGCTCCCTCTAAATGAGTCAGCTGTTCCTGTCATTAAACAACTCCACTCTATCTCTGCTCCTCTGTCCTCCACACACATGTGCACACGGGTGTGCGTGTTCACACACACACACCCACAGTGACACACACACATAAGAAGACACACCTTTGTTCTTCCTTCCATTATTTGTAATGTATTGGATATGGTGATTAAGCAAAGGGCTATCTAAACATTGATTATTTGAATACTATAGCGACTTTGATCACTTTGCTTATCAATCAGAGGCCACTGAGAGGAGGTTGCTGTTTCTTTTTTATTTAATTCATGCTACTGATGTTTATGCAGATAGAAGGCGGTATTCCCAATACACCTCCCCTACCATGTTGAAGCAAAATAGTACCAATCTGTCAAGGTCTTATTCTAAAGAGCCCATTTAGTACTAATTGAGTGTATATATAGGAAGCAGACATGTTCACATATGCGCACACGGGCCATACACACTGAACGCAGACACTCGCATGCATGCGCAAAACAAACACGGAGTCCAGCTCTGATATAGTTGTGCTGTCATCAATGCTGAACAATCTGTCTGCTTACTGAGCTCAGTGGCTTAGGATGTTGGGAGAGTTTTAAGTGATTTTTGCCACTGTATGGTAAAATCCCTTGGCCACCTGGATTACAAACTCTAGTCCTTTAACTCATGCCAGTATAAATCCGTGTTAACTCGGATTTACCTCTGGCATATGAATTCTCAATCTGCGTAAGCTTTGTTTGGAATGAGTCGAACATAAGTATTTCACGCAGTAAGGGTGCCCAAATGGTGAATTCCTATTTCTGTGAAACAAACACTGGGAGATAGTTCACCACTAAATCAGCTGTCGGGATGACTAGAGGAAGCCTTAAGCAGTGTTTTATCACATTCGAGAGGCGAAAGGCCCCGCGTGGCCATCCACAGCCGGGTGGAAGTGTGCGGGCGCTGCGCTGTGGAAAATCCACGTAACCATGGCGACGGGTATAAACTCAGAGCGGCGCGCTGTGGTCAAGAGTTTAATCAGGCTCCTTGCACCAAGATTCTGCTTTGCTCATTGTCAGACAAAACATTATTTGCTCAGTTGTTCAAACAGCAGCCCTGATCGGCTAGCAAAGCGATCACGATAAAATAAAATATGGCATGAGCAGCTTGGAGGATCTAAATTAAGTATTATCCAATATCCATACAATCTCTCACACTCTCTCGCTCTCACACACACAGAGGAACGAGCACACTTCTGGGCTAGCAGAGTTAAGCCAGACTATTTTGTACTTAAAAGGTTAGCAGGGCTGTTTTGTGAGTTTTGATCCATGCTTGCCAAATCAGCAGATGGTCCATGAATATGATTATATGCATCAATAAAAAGGAGTAATCTTTAACAACATGTAAATTTGACTTAAGTCCAGGGTTTAATATACGCGATGGACTTTAACCCAGTTTCCAGCCTGACAGTGGAGCATGATAAGCTAATGCACTTAAACGTTTGTTAACAGCAATCACTGCTGATGCTCCACAGCGCTGCTCTTCAGGGATCAAAAGCAGGAAGGTGCAACATCACAATCAGAATGTGCATGTTTGTGTCAAAACGACACCTATTCACTTTTCGAGTGAGCATCTAAACAGCTCAGCAATCGATACAATCTGAGCCTGGCTGCTTAACAAGAGCCTCTCTTGTGCTGTCATGCCTCTCTCTATTATGCCTTTCATTGCTTTTTTTTTTTAAAAGATAAATCCTTGGACAACACCGAGTCAAGCTTTAATCAAGGATCGACAACAATAACCTGCGTCTGAGTAACCCACACCATTAACAAACCCAGCCACCAAAAAAACAACTGTTTTACTCTTAAAAAACTAAAAAACATGAAGTTCAAGTGCAAGTGGCTCGCAGAGAGAGATGGAGAGAAAAGTTTCAGCGCATCGTGGTGATCTTATTCTGAGTAACATAAAGCAAGCATCACTGTTACTGACCCCTCAATGGATCTACTTCTCTGAGCCCGAGGCTTACACAGCACAGCACATCCTCACACAGACAAACAGAAGCACTTGTCTCCTGCATCCAAACGCACTCATGTCAACATGTCCGACAGGGCAGAATCGCCAGCTCGACTTACCAAGCCCCTCTTAGCCTTTGTTTTGCATCTCATAGTGACATCGGGGAGGAGACGGAGCAGAAGGATATCGAGGTGGGGTACAGGGTAGTCCAGAGCATCGCTACTGAGAGAGTGTTTGTGTGTGTGTGTGCGCGCAGGGACACAGTGATATTCACCCGAAACGCTAAGCTTTTCTTTTTTTTTTTTTAGCCTTTGTGTCATTCACTTAACAACCAATCTCATTAGCTGCCGGGCTACAATGGGCTGAATTATTTTCTGTGTAAATACACCACATGGTGATCCTCAAGGTAAGACCTCTGAAGGTCTTTTTAATCACATAAAAGATAGATTCACCCCAGAAGAAGAAAAAAAATCAATGGGTAGGACAGACTGCTCCTAAAAAAGAATTGAATAAAACAGTAATTTGGAGTGATTCTAATTGAGAAATGAGATTTATATTGCTCGGGGTCTGTGGTGAAGAGAGTGTAAATATCTAATTATGTGAGTGTAATTAATATAGCATGGTGATATATACACTTTGACTTGATAATGATACTCTGAGCACATATGTAATGGGTGATATGAGAAAGGATGCTCCCACTCAGCTTTATAAAACATCTTAAAGGTGATATAATAGGTAATAAACGCTGGTTTCAAAATCCTGTACACATATATTTAGCATTTTTAACAAATCTCTTGCTGCAGCGTTTGTTTGTGCAGAACCATGAATTCATGTAAAATGTTACTATTGTAAGCACTTGAAGTCATGACAGCTGTCTATAAGCATCAGGGACGTGTCTATTGGCCAACTTGACCCTTGTTAGAAAACAAAACAAATACAAAAAAAGAATACTGCAGCCTGGGACTGCCGAGCCGGGTCACTGGAGATTTTCCAGACAAACGCCGCACAGGGGAGGGGAGGGGAGGGGAGGAAGAATAAAAAGGACAGGCTCAGAATCTCATTTTAACAGACCGCACACAATCTGGGCTCCCACAGAACTATCTCTGCCTGACCGCTTTCTATTTATCCCTTATCAGTGTTTACCAACCGCTAGTTTTCTTTCATTCACACTGTGAGGCAGTTCTCTTACTATCAGTCAACAGCTGACACCGTGGAACAGCCTCAAAGGCAAGAGGAAGGGATCAAAACTAAACCAAAGCTGTTTAAACAATACAACAGAGGAAATAAATTCATAAATCCTAATTCTTCCCAACCCACAAGGGTATAAGCAGATCCTTTATAGTTAGGCCAACAAACAAAACCACAGCCAATGAGGTACATTACAATCAAGGTAAATTCGGAAATATATTTTTAACACAAGAAAAGGCAGAATAAAATCCCATGTAATATTAATTGGGAACATTTCATAGTCTTGCCCTGTCAAGCAAATGTAACTATCCCCTAAAAGGTTTGTGGGTTTTTTGTGTTTTATTTTATTTTGTTAACATTTTAGATTATTTTACTTCAAAGTAGAACCGTGCTAGAAAATATGAATGCTATCTTAAAACACTAACATTTTATTAAGGTTTTCAAACGATTTATATGATAATCATTAAAATGTCTATTTTTAGAGTGACTGGTTAGGATCAGTCCACTTCTAAAGGAACAAGCAGAAAAAAACAGTCTCTATCATTTATAAAACCAGGATTACTTTTATCTAATTCTACACACTTATTATTTATAATATTTAATTTATAATAGGATGAAATTTAATTTATGCAATATTACCTGTAATATTTCCATGTGATATATTTTCATTGTAACAAATTCCTATATTCCTATATTCCGAGTATATTTTCACAATTTAAACAATATTAGGGGCTACATGGACAGACTATTTAAAACATGTTCCTAAGAACTGAAGAGAAAGGAATACATTTAAAATATATATCCCACTGTTGCTTTACATTTCTCTTCCCAGCAGGACACACAAACAGCACTGTTTTTCTGGAATACTGTTAAAAGTTAAGTAATTAATTACATTTATCCTTTCACCAGCTGCTCAACAGCAGATGGATCATTTCTGAGACCTTGTTGAATTAAATCCACATAATTCATTTTCCTGGATTAACTAACTGAAGTTTGAGTAGGGTAAAAAAAAAAAAAAACAGGTAACACAATATGCAACAGACCGACGTGTATGCTGGGCTTTTTTTCGTTCGATTTTGTCTTTTCCATTGTGTGCCACCGTCGGCAGTTGACTTGTAATTAAAACAAGCTGTTAGAAATCAAAAGCCACAGAAACGCAATAAAACGGACGAAGATATCAACCATTTTCCAAGTTCAGTGTGCTCCACAGCTGTGTGAATAAGTTTGTGTTCAGCAGCAGGTACCATGGACAGTTCCTGCAGGCGACCAGAGGTTACGTTTATGTGTTGTGTAGCAACTAACATCCCTGTGCTTTGAAGCAGAGAGGAATAATGGCTCTTACTTATCGCTGCTTTACCACACATCCCTGCGACAGCCTGTGCTGCTTTTGTAATTAAATCAAGGAGCAGAGGTGTAACTTTATAACCCCGCTCGCAGGTCCTGTATCTGTTACTTGCCAAACTTTTCAAAGGATTATCGAGATGTGACACAGTTGCACAACGCTGTGTTATCTAATGCCTTTTGTTGCTCTTTTTTCCTTGTTAGTGGAGATGCGAGCTGAAATAAGCTGATGGAGTTGTGATTTAAATGAGGCTAACAGGCACAATGACAACCGGCATTTTGATTTATTTTAACACTGACAATTTTCCAAGTAACTCAAAACCTAAAAATGATTTAACACCTTCATCACGATGTCTAATGCCTCTGAAAGACATTGGAAATAGATAAAGCAGATGTTGTTGCTTTATTTATATATATATATATATATATATATATATATATATATATATATATATATACTCTCACATAGACTCTATACTATACTGTTTATTTTCACTTGTTCAAAAGAATAAGGAACAAAATCTAAAAAGACATTGAAGTTTTGATGATATCAGGACTGTAAATTCAACCTAGGCCTAAAATAAAAATCCTACCTTGTTTAACAACGATCAACAATAAGTTGGGTCATAAAGCAGATTCTGAGCCATTAGCGTGGCGCACGTTACTAGTAAATGATGAACTTTTCTAACCAGCATCCGTCCTCTTAAATCAATAGTCGCTCTGGAGACTGTCGAGTGCTTTAGTCCCTCTGAATCTGTTCAAAGCTAAGATTTACCAACGTAAAACGCAAAAGTTCACCCTGTAGGCTGTGCTACTATCAGACTACATTTAGCATTAGCACATCCTTTTTTTAAACGATTCCACTTCTACCACAGTTACAAGACAAATAATTACAGAGAGTCAGAACAGGATGCACTGATGTTGGTCCTGATGAATTCGTACAAATCTAACACCCATCGAGTTTAACACAAAAGCTGATTTGTAGACAATATTACTGTCACACTACAACGTTAGCATATAGTTGTCAAACTTTACCGGACTTACAATTCAAATTACAGCAAGCCCGATCAGGATGCAATAAAAGACTTCACCGACTGTTCAAATACGTTACTGGAACACAGAGTAAATGTTTAAGTGCATGAGCCTCAGTGGTCTTGTATGTACAGCTGTCACTGTCAAAGCCACAGGCAACCTGACAATGCTTTGTCTCTGCACACAATACGAACATGTGCTCTTCTAAGACAAGCTTATACTGCACACAAACGCTGTGACTTTAATCTAGATAGACCGTATCTCATGCTATCTGGATGATCAAATATAGGTCATGCCTCTCAAAAAACAGTTTGAGCCATTTAATCTCCTCTCAAACTGTCTGAAACCTGGACAGAAGCTGCGCTCGCTCCCCAGCTAAGATTTTAAGAACACCGATTTGTATCGAGCCAGCAATGTTCATCACCAGTGCAATATTCTCCACACACAACCCCGACACAGTGGAAAACAATTGCCAGCACAATACTATTTCACATAATCTTGTAAAATCCACTGAACACAAGTTTAGCAGCTGAGTACATCTCAGTGTAAATCTAAGTTTTCTAACAGTCCTGTTTTCATTTTACAGCGTCTAACAGCCTGAGCTAGAAAGGCTTGTCGTTCACATACGCGATGCAGAGTATCAGAGATGATAAATGATGACCAAACTGACAGTATCTTAAATAAAAAAAGAACTTTGACACCAACCTAGTGCTGTGATCCAAAAAGTTTGATTTTCTCCCAGTCTCTTGATAGCTGAGCTGGTGCTGTGGCTTTGAAAGGTAGTCCCCAGGAATATGACATACTGTGCCTTTGACAGCCTCGAGATAAGCACCTGCGTTCGGGTCTCTTTTTACGTCACACCTCCCCATTCACAGCCCTTCAACATGATGCACATTTGCACATCAACAGCCACCAAACCCCCC